ACTCTGCTGAAAGAAGTAAACTTGATGCTAAGTCCAACAAATGTGCCTTTGTTGGTTATGGCGGTGATGAGTTCGGTTACCGGTTTTGGGACTACGAAATCGAAAGATCATCAGAAGCAGAGACATCATTTTCAATGAAAATGTGATGTACAAAGACAGGTCAACCGCAGAATCAAGTAATACCGAGGCTGAAACAAAGGAATTGCTGAGTTCGAGGAGATTTCTAGAAATGATGTTCAGATTAGTCCTGAAGCAGTTCAAGAGGAAGAACCAGGCACACCAGAATGAGAGCTCCTCCAGAATTCCTAAACCAACCAACGGTATTCACCTTCTTACACTACTTGTTGCTGACTGACAATGGTGAACCAGAGTGTTATGATGAAGCAATGCAAGTGGAGGATTCAGTCAAGTGGGAGTCTTCCATGAAAGATGAGAGATGGACTCGCTTATGTCAAATCAAACGTGGGAATTAGCTGAATTACACCAGGCAAGAGAGCGCTCCATAACAAGTGGATTTACAGGATCAAAGAAGAGCACGATGGGAGCAACGTTACAAAGCAAGATTGGTTGTCAAAGGCTTTCAGCAAAAAAGGTATTGATTACAATGAAATTTTCTCTCCAGTCGTGAAACTGTCTACAATCAGACTGGTGTTGAAATTATAGCTGCAGAAAATTTACATCTTGAGCAGTTAGATGTAAAGACAGCTTTCCTTCATGGTGATTTGGAGGAAGAAATCTATATGAGGCAGCCAGAAGGCTTCATAGAGGCAGGCAAGAAAAACCTGGTATGCAGGTTGAAGAAGAGCTGTATGGGTTAAACAAGCTCCTAGACAGTGGTACAAGAAGTTCGATAGTTTCATGGGTAGTAGTGGTTTTACAGATGCAAGCAGATCATTGTTGTTACATCAAGAGGTTCGCAACAGCATTATTTTATTATTGTACGTGATGACTGCTCGTTGCAGGCTCAAACATGCAAGAGATTATACACTTAAAGCAAAATTGTCGAAGCAGTTTGCTATGAAGGATCTGGGCTGCAAAGCAGATTCTTGGGATGAGGACAAGAGAGACAAAGTCGGGGACTTTGATGTTATCACAGGCTGAGTACATCAACAAAGTACTCTCCAGGTTCAACATGCAAGATGCTAAACCAGTAAATACACCTTTAGGTGTTCATTTCAGACTCTCCAAAGAACAGTCACCAAGACGGAGGAAGAACGTGCACATGGTGAAGGTGCCGTATGCCTCAGCAATTGGAAGTCTGATGTATGCCATGGTTTGTACTAGACCAGATATTGCTCAAGCAGTGGGAGCTGTTAGCAGGTACATGAATAATCCAGGCAAAAATGGGAAGCAGTCAAATGGATCCTCAGATATCTGCGAGGTACCACAAACAAAGCACTTGTTTCAAAGGTGGATACGATATGACAGGCTATGTAGATGCTGACTTAGCCGGAAAATGTTGACATCAGAAGAAGCACTACAGGGTATGTCTATACTCTAGGAGGAACCGCAGTGAGTTGGGTTTCTCAACTACAGAAGATAGTTGCTCTCTCCACAACCGAAGCAGAATATGTCGCTGTTACGGAAGCCAGCAAAGAGATGGTCTGGCTCCAAAGTTCTTGAATGGTTAGGCAAGAAACAAGAAAACAATGTCTTGTATTGCGACAGTCAAAGTGCTATCATCTAGCGAAGAATCCGTCTTTTCATTCCAGGACGAAGCACATACAATTGCGATATCATTTTATTCGGTCTCTTCTGGAAGATGGGATTTTGAAACTTGAAAAGATCAGTGGAGCTCAAAATCCAGCAGACATGTTAACAAAGACGGTAACTACGGACAAACTGAAGTTGTGTTCAGCTTCAGTTGGCATGCTAGAATAAAAGACCAGAAATACTGCTGCATCGATCGAGGTGTGAAGACAGATTGAAATCAGTCTTCAAGTGGGAGATTGTTGAAATTAAAGAACAAGTTGGGCTAAGTAGCAGCGGCTGCTAAAACAAATTGGGGAGGGGGGGCTGCCCAAATATTTTTATTTTTAATTACAATATTAGTCCCTAAGTTTTAACTATAAAACCCTAGCTCATTTAGCTTCAAAATCATCCAAAATCTTCTAGTTCTCTCTCAAGTGTGTGTGTAAACACCTGTAAATTTCTCTTAGTAAAAGATCTGCAGCAGTCCGGAGACGTAAGCATAAATTGGCTGAACTCCGTTATCAAATTTCGGGTATTATTTTTCCGCTTTTATTTCGCATTCTCACTAATCTGGTTATAGGGAAATTACTTGTACTGGGTTTATTTCCTAACACGTGGCCACATTCTCAACCGTCTGATCGATGTCTGCAGCAAATCATCAAGGATCATCTACGCTCCCCACCTGTTTGATAAAATTCTCGAACCAGATATTGTTTGAAGAACGACTTTGGTTTAGGCTTATTCTTGGTCGGGCGACGTTAGAACAGCGCGGAAGATGTTTGAAGAAACCCCTCTGAGCATCCGGGACAGCGTTTTCTACAACGCGATGATCACGGGGTATTCACGCAATGAAGATGGCCATGCTTGTATCGAACTGTTTCGCCAGATGTTACGTGACGAATTTAGGCCCGATGATTTCACTTCACCTCTGTTTTAGGTGGATTGGCTCTTGTTGTGAATAGAGCAATGCAGTGCAAGCAATTCCATGGACGTATGAAGAAGCTCTAGATATGTTTAGAAAGATGTATTTGGTGTTAAACAAGACGAATTTGCATACACTAGCATTATTAGTTGTTGCGTGCATGCCCGATTGTTTCATCTCGGAAAGCAGGTGCATTGTTATGTTTTAAGGACAGAAGCTAAGCCTACACCTGAATTTTCATTGCCTGTGAATAATGTATTAGTTACATTGTATTGGAAAATTGATAAAGTGGATTGGGCGTGCCGGATTTTTGATAGCATGCCGGTAAGAGACCTTGTTTCGTGGAATGCAATCTTATCTGGCAATGTGAATGCTGGCTGTATAGATGAAGGTAGGTTGTTTTTTAGGAAGATGCCGGAGAGGAACCATTTGACGTGGACTGTTATGATATCGGGATTAGCTCAAAATGGGTTTGGAGAGGAGGGTTTAAAGCTGTTTAACCCGATGAAATCAGAGGGTTTTCAGCCATGTGATTATGCACTTGCTGGAGCAATCACTTCTTGTTCCATGTTAGGAGCATTGGAGAATGGACGTCAACTCCATGCTCAACTTGTTCGCTTGGGGCTCGATTCAAGCCTTTGGGCTGGAAATTCATTGATTACAATGTATGCAAGGTGTGGTGTTGTGGAAGCTGCTAATGTGCTGTTCCTTACAATGCCATGTGTGGATTCAGTCTCTTGGAATGCCATGATTGCAGCTCTCGGCCAGCATGGGCATGGTATACAAGCATTAGAACATTTCGAGCAGATGTTGGATGCTGGCATATCACCTGATCGGATTACTTTCCTCACAATTCTATCTGCTTGTAGCCATGCGGGTTTAGTTAAAGAAGGGCAGTATTATTTCATTTCAATGCATAGGCTTTACGGGATAACCCTAGGTGAAGATCATTACGCCCGCCTCGTTGATCTGCTTTGTCGAGCTGGAAAGTTCCTAGAAGCAAATAATGTGATTTCGTCAATGCCTTTTGAGCCAGGTGCTGCAGTTTGGGAGGCTCTTCTTGCTGGATGCCGGACTCATGGAAATGTATATTTGGGGATCCAAGCCGCTGAACGACTAATCGAACTGGTGCCACAAATGATGGAAGCTACATGCTTTTGTCTAATATGTATGCTACTGCTGGACGGTGGAACGACGCTGCAAACGCACGGAAACTAATGAGAGACAGTGGTATGCAAGGAACCTGGGTGTAGTTGGGTGGAGGTTGAGAACAAGTCCATGTTTTATCGGTTGATGACACTGTGACCCTGAGGTGCAAGCAATTTACAATTACCTTGACAAATTGATGCTGGAAATGAGAAGACTGGGTTATGTTCCAGACACAAAGTTTGTGCTACAAGATATAGAGTCGGACCAGAAAGAACGTGTCCTGTCGGCACACAGCGAGAAGCTCGCGTAGCTTTCGCGCTCATGAGGCTTCCTCGTTGAGCCACCGTGAGGGTATTCGAGAACCTTGGGATTTGTGGGGATTTCCATAATGCATTCAAGGAAATGAGAAGACGGTTATGTTCCAGACACAAAGTTGTGCTACAAGATATAGAGTCGGACCAGAAAGACGTGTCCTGTCGCACACAGCGAGAAGCTCGCGTAGCTTTCGCGCTCATGAGGCTTCCTCGTTGAGCCACCGTGAGGGTATTCGAGAACCTTGGGATTTGTGGGGATTTCCATAATGCATTCAAGTTTATGTCAAAAGTGGTGGGACGAGAGATTATCGTCAGAGATGCAAAGAGGTTTCATCATTTTAGAGATTCCGAGTGCTCTTGTGGTGATTACTGGTCGGCACGTACTTTGAAACATTACAAGTGATAGCGGACTGAATCCTGAAAATTTAGAGAACGTCCTTTACTTTTCGACCTTCATTTTTGTCGCTAATAAAATAAAATATTAAAACCTTTTATTTCATTTTATTTTATTTAGCACATAAATTAGAGGTCACTGAAAATACGTTCAAATGATCATTTTAATCATTAAACTTTTGAAAAAACAATCATTAAATTTTTTAATTATTATAAAATGATCATTAAATTTCATTAAAAAATGATAAAATAATCATTAAATTAACAAATGTAAAAATAATTCATTAAATTTAATGATCATTTTATAAATTTTTAAAAGTTTAAAGACCAAAACGATCATTTGAACATAATTCGATAAATTTAATGATAATTTGCATGGAAGAATTCTGGTTTCCATGTTGCAAAAGCCAAGTTATTTTGTTCATAAAACAAGTGGTCGAAGTAATTGGGAAAAAGAAAAAAAACTTAATCTGAATTACGCAATAAAGTTCAGTACAAACGGTTTTAAGTTGTACCGTTTGCTTTTGCCTTTGAAAATTGCGACTTCCATTATTGCACTTGCTTCGGCCATAGCACCACTTCAACAAAACCAGGGAATCAGAAGTTGTGTATAAAAATCAACATATCTCTTCCGCAAATACGATGTCAAAGATGGATTGTACTGCAAAAGGAGTATATGAGAAAGCAGTAGTTAGAACCTGTTACGCATAAATACAATATGATTAAACTGCAAAAAGAAATGGAAGAAGAAAAAGATACGGCAAACAGATCGCAGTCGTTACTAGTATAAAGCTAAAAGTTACAGTCATTACTATTTGCTAATGTAATTCTATTAGTTGAAGCTACTATGACACCATTTTGTATATACTTCTCAACAAGGCTAAACAGAAATTTGTCCAATTCGATAGTAACATGAATGTATTGAGGTATCTTCTCATTCGAGTATAAAAAATACTCGTATCCATTATCTTACATAACTATAGAAAGGACTAATTTCTGCTATTAATGAGCATGGTTACTCCGGGACCAGGGATTTGCTTAATTGGGCTCTGTTTCCCGGTGTAATGGAGACTAGGAATTCTATGAGAGTGCCACAGAAGATGTGACTCCTACCACTCTAAATTTGTAGTATTTTCTTTGCAAGAAATTACACTTTGATCTAATTCTAGTTGACCTTTCCAATCCTTGTTGATTCCGGTCTTGGTGAAGTGTACAAATGAAAAGTGAAATTTTAGAAATGCTTGCTTGACAAGGTTAGGTACCTGATAATGATCAATTCTTCTACTATAGCATTTACCGGAGTTTAAAAGAAGAAGAAGAAGCAGTCTCCACCTATTTGTATGATTGTAACTCTCAATAAAATATGATTGTATTGTTATTCCAAAAAAAAAATCGTCACTTATTATTAATAAATCAAGGTAACTAAAGCTAAACACATGCAAAATATATATGGCTAACTTTGGCCAGGTAACCCTTCCATGTTTAGTATACTGTGTTGATCAAGAAGGTAACTAAAGCAAAAAAACAAACAACAAATCTATCTAGCTTTGTCCAGAGTGTACCTTCCTCGCTTAGTATATTGGGTTGATCAACCAAAAGCTGGTGAAGTGCACCCAGATCACCCGAACTGCAAATCAAGGAAACATAACAATTATAAAGCCATGTCTTAAAGAAAGTTGAAAAATTAATTCCTTTCTTTTAGGAGGTTAAATAAATTTATTTTAACAAACCAAGAAGCAAGTGAACAAAAAACTCATATCTCCATGTTGGAAAAGGATGAATAAGCACAATTAATAGAACATCCAAATAAGCCTTAACCTTAAAAAATGTGGAAATAACTTCTTGATATTTTATTGCATGGAATTAGGATTATGAACTTTCATTTCACTGTATTTGTCATCTAGTTCATCCGAATAAATTCATGTGAACACTTTAATGGATTACACAGTCAACCAAGAAGATTTTAATGAATTTGCTAAATATTGTAGTGCGGTTCTCGTTATAATAAAATAAAAACTGATAGCCACAATTCCTCAAAATAAAGATACAAAGATTTTTTTTCAATTTTAGTTTACATTCATATTCTTACAATCTTACTCGAGTATTATCTCATTTGTTACATAACAAAAAGTAGGCAAGCTAAAGAAGTAAGCTTTAGAAACTAAAGTATACATGAACATAAATTTTACTTATCATACTTATGCTATCTAAACAACAATAATATTTTGGAAGCACCGTATTCTATTGGACTCTTTAAGGGTCCAATCATTTATGAGGGCACAACAGTGGGAATGACTCCACCATGGCACACCCTTGCCCTCAAAATGCTTTGGCATGATGCCTACAAGCGCCTTACAGGGAATCATCTGAACTACAATGTAAAATTTGCAAATTGCAAGTTTTACACTTTTTTGGATCGTTGGGTAAACTGAGTTTTAATGGCTGAGATTAAAACTTTTAAAGTAAGGATAATCCACTTCCTCTTCTTTTTCTTAAAAACCTCCTCATTTCCCACTATTAATCTCAGCCATCCATTTTCACTCATCCAACGATCCAAAAAAGTGTGTGTGTGTATATATATATATATATCAGGACAGTTTTATTGACAATTTTGAATTGCAAGAGCAAGATAATGAGTTCTCCTTACTTTGGTTTCAAGGCAAGAGCTGAAAGAGCAGAAACCAATGACGATTTAAGTAGGTACCTAGCAAACATAAATAATCAGTCATTTAGAATCTAGCTACCTCAAATTTGACCAAAAGTGAATCAAAGCATGTTCTTCAAACCTAATATAGTGAAAAGTGCAATCATGAAAAATCAACGGAAACCTAAAGATGAAGCAATAAAAAGAAGAAGAAAAAATTCATTCTAAATTTTTTGAAAGATGAAACTGTTAATTACTCGGCAAGGTGCATTTCATGGAGAAGTACAAGGCCATCAATGCAATTAGTAAGAGTAGGTTTTACGCCAATTCTATGTTGCAATTGTTTTTTGTTCATCTGATTAGAGCTCCCTTTTGCAAGCTGTTTACCATCATACTGAAGCTTCTCAAGAGAAAGAACAACAGCCCGAAAGTCTTCACTGCAATAAAAACATAAATATAAAGACGCATTAAAAAAACCTAATTCGTTATTTTATCTAAGACCTTTACAAATTTCAGTTAATTAATTAATCAAACTACTATTTATATTCTAAAAAAGCAAATATACCAAATAACAAATAGCAAAAGACTCCGTCAAACAAACAAAGATTAAACACTTACATGGTATTTCTCATGGAAAGTAAAATAGTTTGCAAAGAATCCATCTGCTTTTGCATCACTGCAACTTCGATTCCTCCAATTGAATTTAAACTCGCATAATTTTTAGTGTTTTGAATAATCTGATAAAAATAAATAAAGAACTTGTATTAAAGAAATATAAATAAATAAATGAATAGGAAGTTGAGAGAGAGGAAAATATTAGGTTAGACCTGTAATCTGGCAATAATAGAAGAAGCATTTTGGAACTGAGAAATTAATCGAGATTGAATGTCGTCCCATTTACTCATTTCATCTTTTGCTTTTTTGAATTTCTGCTGATATTTCTTTATCATGGATTCCATCGGGGTTTTCAATAGCGGCGGCGTCGATGGCGGCACCGTCCGACAGCGTTAAGAGCTTAAATACCGGTGTGAAGCAATTTCATACAAATAACAGCCGAATGCAGCCGCGAAAAGCAGTACGACGGAAAATAGCGCCGGTAACGGCCTGTTATTCCCGCTATCCGGTTACTTTTTCTGAAAATAAATTATCAGCTCAGCGTGATAAAAGAAAGCAAAGGAATAACGAACAAATGAAGAAGAGACTTATGACGGGCCATGGCTATATGTTTCAATTGAGTAATGGGTTAGGTCATAATGGACCAGACCCAAGTATTATATTCAAGGGTAAAATAACTTATTTAGTCATCCATATATTATCATATTTCTGTTTTTGTCACTAAATTCCTTTTAGAGTTTATGATTAATTTTTAGGGTAAACTACAAATTTCATCATTGAACTTTTATAACTCTCCTATTTTTCTCACTTAACTTTAAAAGTTTTCAATTTTTCACTAAACTTAATACATTCTTTTTTTTGGTCACTGAATTTTACTCTCTCCTATTTTGGTCATTCTCCTATTTTGGTCACTCTATCTTAAATAGTTAACGACGTTAAAAACTATGCTATTTTAAAAAATAAAATTTTCACCAAAGCGATGTCGTTTTGCATCTATATAACAACACATTTTAACGGCGTTAATTATTTCACGACCAAGTGATAAAAAACCCAATGTATTAAGTTTAGGGAGGAAATTGAAAAGATTTAAAGTACAAAAAGTGAAATAGGAGAGAGAGAAGTCCAACTACCAAATTTGTAATTTACCCTAGTTTTTATAATAACTAATATCATTTAAAATTTAAATTATTTAAAAATAATTATCACTATAATATTTAAAATATTAAAACAGATAATTATGGTAAAATATTATTAGATGAAATCAACATTGAATTGGTATAGGGGAATTAAAGCAAAAAGATTTGATTCTGCACCTAAAAATCAGTAGAATGTCAACTAGAAACAGAAAATACTTTCAAGATTTAATTTTTATTGATACATACATCAATAGTATATGTATTATTTATGTATTATAATTAAGATTTTATTTTTTTAGAAAATATTGTTTACATAAGTTTTTATATCTTTCATTAAATCAGATAATACCATCTATTTAAAAAAAATATAGTTTTTTTAATAAACGACATCATATATTCATTGATGATTTATTATTATATAATCAAATTTAAAGATCAAATAATTATATTATAATAATGAAAAATATTTACTCAAAATTAAATGTTTTTTGAAAATAAATAATATATATATAAATCAAAACAGATAATTATCAGAGTAATGGATATAAAATATAATTAAATAATATCAATGTTGATTTGGTAGATAAGTTAAAGCAAAAGAAGATTATATATCTAAAATTGGATTAAAAAATAATTGAAAAAAAATAACTGAAAAGATTTAAAAGATTTAAGGATAATAATAATAATAATAATAATAATAATACGATCTCAACTTAAATTCAAACTCTAAAAATATCTAAGCTGAAACTATAAATTAGAGAGAATGAAGTTAAAGTTTCGACACCAAACATAGATAGAAACTTGAAACTAGCATTAAAGATGAGCAACAACAATTCAGCAAAGAGTCCTATGATCGTCTCGTTCGGCGAGATGCTTATCGATTTCGTGCCCGACATCGCCGGTGTTTCTTTGGCCGAATCTTACGCTTTCATCAAAGCTCCCGGCGGCGCACCTGCTAATGTTGCATGTGCCATCGCTAAGCTCGGAGGCAATGCTGCCTTCATCGGCAAGGTCGGAGACGACGAATTCGGTCACATGTTGGCGAATCTGTTGAAGAAGAACGGAGTGAACAGCGAAGGGATTTGCTTCGACAAAGACGCGAGGACCGCATTAGCATTCGTCACGCTCAAGACCGACGGGCAAAGGGAATTCATGTTCTATCGGAACCCTAGCGCCGACATGCTGTTGAAAGAGTCCGAATTAAAATTAGATCTCATCAAACAAGCCAAGATTTTCCATTACGGATCCATAAGTCTGATATCGGAGCCCTGCAGGTCGGCTCACTTGGCGGCCATGAAAGCCGCCAAACAGGCCGGCGTTTTGCTTTCTTATGACCCTAACGTTCGCCTGCCTTTGTGGCCCTCCCATGAGGCTGCTAGGGATGGGATCAAGAGCATATGGAATGAAGCTGATTTCATTAAGGTAATCAATTTAAATGTTTATGGTTTTTTTATTAATACGAGATAAATACAAGGAACTATAATTCCTTTATTATTACCGAGGTTGTTCTGTTCTTGCTTAAATGTTGACGTTAGATACATTATTTAGTTTAATATTTATTAAAATTTATATTTTTAATTTCAGGTCAGTGATGATGAGGTGGAATTTCTTACCAAAGGAGATCCTCAAAAGGATGATGTCGTTCTGTCTTTATGGAATGACAATTTCAAGTTGCTTATTGTGACCGATGGACCGAACGGTTGTAGATACTATACTAAGGTATAATTTATTTATTTATTTATTCGAATGATAATTTTAATTTCTGAAAAAATAATTAATGAATCTGTGTTTAAATTAATGCAGAAATTCAAAGGAAAGGTGGATGGTTTTCAAGTGAAAACCGTCGATACTACTGGAGCTGGAGATTCTTTTGTTGGTTCATTTTTACTATCCGTAGCCAATGATCCAAACATCTTCGATGTACGTATACTTTCCCATATATAAAATTATATATATATATATATATATATTATGATTTTTATAAATTTTTTTTGGAAAATAGAATGAACAGAAGCTGAGGGATGCACTGCTGTTTGCCAATGCTTGTGGGGCAATTTCCACAACTCAAAAGGGAGCCATCCCGTCACTTCCAGACAAGGCACAAGCTGAGAAGCTCATCAAAGACTCTAAATGAGTTACTGTTCTTTCCTATAATAATTTCTACTTCTTTTTCTTTGGTGGTTTTAGTAATTGGCTTAGCTAGGTAGCTAGCTTTGGTGATGAATAAGAAACTTTGCTGTTTTTGTTTATTTTACCATTCTCTTCCCTATCTTTCACCGGATTACAAAGTAATATAAGTTTTAAATACCTTTAATCGTCTGACAATAAACGTTCAATCACCCTTACAGTTGCTGGTACTCGTATCCGTGATCACTAAAAATAACAATGATTCCTTTAACCGCTGAAATAAATTAGTTCGTGCTATAAACAAAAAAAAATTATTTAAAAATTATATAGTTAAAATTAATTTGAAAAAGTCATTTAATTATTTCAAAAAAGAAAGACATTTAATTTTTTTAATTCATCGTTTCAAATTCTTAGGCATAACATTTCTTGATATTAGAATTAATGAGGACAAAGTAGCTTAATAGAGATTGTTTTGTTTTTCTTTATATATACAAGAACGGTCCATTATCATATTCATATGTGGTTATTCTTAACAAAACGTTTATCAGAATATAGATTATATTTAGGGACGGATAAAATATTGAATCCGACGAGTTTTGACCCGATCCGATTTTATAAGGGTAATTTTCTTTTTGAATTTTTGGGGTTTGGGCCGAATAAGATGGGTTATATAGCAAGTAGGTTTGGGGCGGGAGAGGGCCGAGTTTAAGGTAAAAAATAATCGACCCGATCCGATATAAACCCTTATATATACTTAAAAAAATTATTTTTATAGGGTTAAAATAGGCATTTAATTGTTAAAATATAATATATTATAATAAAATATATTATTTTAATAGTTTAAAATACAATAAATAATTATAAATATATTATTATAAAATATATTATTTTAATTATTTTAAAATATTAATACATCCGTGTTGGGATCGAAATTTTAGTATAAAGGTCCGGATGAGTTTGGGGTGGAAGAAAATCTAATAATTATCGGGGTAGGACAAGTTCGGGTATAAGTAAAATATTTTCAGGTCAATGTCAGGGCGGCCAAAAAACCAACTCGCCCCACTCGATGCTCATCCCTAATTCTATTAGCGAGGAGTAACAACTAATAATAAATATAATCTCAGGTAAACTACATGTTTAATACTCTAACTATCATTTTCCGTTTTAGTTATCTAACTATTTTAAAAAAAATACATATCTAATGTTATGTTTTGTTTATATTTTTATCATTAAAAATTTAACAAATATTTTTTTAAATTCAATTATGACATAATATTATTTTATGGCACGTCAATTTCACCGTTGAATTTAATGAAACAAAAGTTATAAAATATTAAATATGCTATAATTTTATTCAAAGGAAATTAGAATCCAAAGACAACAGACCATATATTTGCTACTTGTGATTTTATAAACATCTTAGCTTAATAAAAAAAAATGATTTTTTTTTTTACTTTTAAACATTTTTTTAACAAAGACCAGTACGATATCTTTAATCGCATAAATGGCACACTGACACGAGTTTCATTACATTGTAAGCATAATATTAAGTTCCGTTCATCCCCGAAAGCCAGCTAGCTGATGGCTTTTGAAACCAGCAAAACTGTTATTATGCACACAACAATGGGGATATCAATGTTAAGAAATGCAATCTGAAATCAAATTCCACATGAAGCCATGTCAAGAAACTGGAGTTAACCGGCCCAAACTATTAGTCTCCATTTTCATGACTGATCTTCTTCTGACCTCGGCCGCGTCAGTCGCCTACGCCTTCTTGGGATCGGAAATGCATCATTACCTACATCGCTTAATATGTGTGCATCATCTTCGTCATCCTCATCTTGCAGCCCCAAGAGACTGTGACCCCAGAGAAACCTACGCTCGGATAAGGCTACTCCGAGGCGTCGATGCCTTGACCATACTCTAGGTTCACCGACACCATCAGCTGAAAAAAACATCTGAAACCGAAAGAAAGTAGTCCACCATGGCGTACTCACTTCACCAGTGCCGTTCTCTCTTTCGCCAGCCAACCTATCTCCATCCTCAATGGCATAGTCTCCAACCACAACTGCACCTGGCATGACAGATCGAATAGCACTTACGGTGTCATCATATCCTCTTTGGTGCTCAAGGCGGTGCCAGGCTCGTTCTCTGGACGGATCAATATCTGAAGGTCGTGTCATTGGATGAACTCTCCTGGCATGCCGACGCAACTCCTGGTAATTCCCATTGTAGGAGCAAGATTCCTTGGAACAAGTTCTCTTCTTCAAATTTAGATATCTTCTGGCCTCTTCCACAACCTCCCAGCCGACTATGTTCCCTCCACAGAAAGGGCATTTCAAACTAGATTTAGAGTTTGATGTATTCCCTGCATCTACTTCAAATTCAACTCTTCTCCTAAAAGATTCCCCTGAATCTACAATGCCTTCTCCAAGTGAATTGATATTTATTTCATCGAGATTTTGACTTTCATTACCTTCAATAAACTCCGTTCTCAAGTTCATATCAGAAGTAATAGAATTCAGTGGGTTTAATTTCTTAAACTGGTCTAAGCAATTTGAATTCCTGTAACTTGTATCACAGATGTATGATCTGCAACCCCTCTCATAAGAGCTGCACAAGAGGAGAACAGCATCCTGCGGATGTTCGATGAAGATTGGACATGAGACTTCATCCAGTTCTCTATGGAAAGCATGGGCATCCAAATCAGCAATTTCTCTTCGTTTAACCCCAGCCATCTTCCACATGCTGTATAAAGTTACTCAGCATATTGAACTCATCAGGTAATGAGAAAATAGTCCATTAATCAAAGCATAAACCACAAAGTGAACACTATAAACAACAATTAGCATCATGCAAAGTGCATTTTCGAAAGTGTCCACCTATGTAATTATTGGATAGTAAACCGAGACAGGAAAAATGGCATCATTTCACAGAATTGAAAATGCAGCAACCAGCCAGATACACCCAAGATTAGAGAAAAAGAATGACGAGCAAAAGATTCGGTAAAGCACGTCATCTTCCACATTCCAATTTTTTTTTTCTTTCTAGGAAAGAGAGGGTGCAGGAAGGGAAACGAATCCTGATTCCTAAGATTTATGCTATTCATTCTGGATGAAATCAGAAAATGCGGATTCGAACTGTCAAACTTTGATAGCCACATATAAATCTCCATTAACAGCTGCCTAGTTTGATTCAAATGCCACATTTTATGTCTCAAACTCCACTGCAGGCATGGAAACCTTCAACTTAGGATTAGAGTGTTCCTTAAAGGCAAGCTCATGTTCACTTTTCAATACTGTGCTAGCAGAAACTAATTGTTCATTCCATTGCATTCGTAGGAAAACATTGATGTCAACTCGTTGCCGAGTTGGGGTTGCCGAGTTGGACGTGCTCTCCCATCTCGACATCCAACATATTAAGACGATAATTTAAATCTCGAACCAAAATATCAGTCATTTACAATTCAGCAATGATTAGCGAGTTACTTACTCGTGAGATGAAATGGTTAGGGGTTGTTCTGTATCAAGGGATATGAGAAATGGGTACGCCTTCAGCTCCGACCTAGCGACTGGATAATGGAAAAAGTGCAACTTACATGTTTAATGTGATATTAAGGACTAAGGATACAAAATTATAAACTTCAAGAATTGTTACATATCAGTACGACACTCATGTTCAGTCATGGTTTTCAGAACCGAACCGATCAGCGAACCGACCGTGCTATCGGTTCACTGGTTCAACCGGTCGAACCAATCGGAAGAACCGGACGACGTCATAATTAATTAATTATTTAAAAAATTAAATAAAAATACCAAAACATTTAATAAAAAACAGTTTTTTATATCACAAGTCATATTCAAAGCAAGTCATATTCAAAGCAAGTCATAACATATATACGTTAAAAATCAAAAAATCAAGTGAAACAAATTGATTCAAATCAACTACAACATAATATTTAAGGTAAAACATATTAAATAATAAATATAATTATATAACTATAATCAAAAAATAAATTTGGGGCTAAAAAAATCATAACAAACGATGTCGTTTGGTTTAATTTTTTAAAAAAAATCCCACATGGCTAAGAAATATAGAATAACATCACAAAAGTCTAAAGAGTAAAAATATGAAAACAAAACAATGTCACATGGCTAAGAAACATAGAAGAGCATCCCAACTGACTTCTATAAATAATAGAGGTAATTTGACATTCAAAATCATGTAGTCTTTTGGTGAGCACAGAACGAACTATTCCTTCGCTTTAATCGAACTCGAATTTCAGGCTTCAATCGAGATTCTAAATTTTTTTGAGCTCAAGTTTCAATATTATATTTCGAGTTCGAGTTGAATTTGATAATTTTTAGCTCGTGAGTTTTTGAGTTTAGTTGAGCTTACTTTAAAGTTTTCGAGTTCGAGTCGAGCTCATCAATATTTGAGTTCAACTCGGCTCGTTTAACAAATGACGTCGTTTGATTTAATTTTTTTTAGAGCCGGTTCTATCGGTTTTCAACCGGTTCACGGTCCGGTCCGATTTGAACGATTCACAACCGGTTCAGCGGTTTCTTCCGGTTCACTAATAACGGTTTAACCGATATAAAATAAACCGGACCAGACAACGATACCCAGTTAAACCTGCCGGTCCAGTCCGACCTTCAAAATACTGTGTTAAGTAGTAGAAAGACCATTAATTGAATGTTATAATTATACATTTCTTTCATTAAAAGCGTAAAATCTATTCGTAGAAAGGTGCCCTGTTTCTTAAGATTGCATTACAAAATCTGAAAATCAATAAAATTTAACAATAAAAAACTTAGAAATACGGGTCAGAAGAGCATTGGGTTCTCCAACATCTCCACATTAGCTCCTGACAAAGTACAAAGGGAAATGACTGAAAAGCAACACATTGCATGGGATTAGCGGTGGAGAACGCAGCAATCAGCACTAGTTGCTGTTACCCCCGTAACAAAAACTTTCAAAACCTAAAAGAACGAAAGAAAGAAGAGAGGGAGAAATAAAGCAAGTCCAGCGCTGGCAGCTTAATGCAGCACATGAGCCAATTTGCATGCAGATGGAGAGAGAAAACAGGGTTTCAGATCAAGTGGGGACTGAGACTGACTTCATAGCATTTAATTAAGCCAACCCAATCGTTCCCCATTGGCCATTGAAGCCTCATCTTCCAAGCTCTGCCCTCTGACTTCCATTGATGACATAATTTATTGGATAAATTACATTTTTGTACCTAAACTATCAATTTTGATTCTTTTTAGTATCTAAACTTTTTTTTTCAAAACTATACCTAAAATTTAATTTTTATTTCATTTTAATACATTTCTATTAAAAACTTAACAGACGGACTCGTCGGCCACCGCATCTATAGTCATCAGACAATTAAGCCCAAATTTTCAGCCCGTACCTTTTCGACCTCTTGAACTTGATTCTAACCCCCGTTTTATCAAAAAAGGCCCCAATATCTCCAAATCAATAATGGAATCTTCAACTTTTTCATCCTCCGATCTCTGTCGTCAACCGTCCTACAAACTTGAAACTGGACTATGTTGGTCGACTTGTCATTCTCTATTAGTCCACCATTCTAATTGGTCGTCTTTCTATCGGAGTTATGCCCTATCAACCAGTCCGTTAATTTTTTAACGGCAAAGTACTAAATGTTAGATATAGTTTAAAACAATAATTTATGTATTAAAACAAATAAAAATAATAATTTAGATACTAAATATCTGTACCCTAATTTCTTTCCCATCCTCCAAACCCCATAAATTAAAAAAAAAACATTTCTATTCCGGTTCAGCATGCAGAAACGTATTGGAGAAGAGTTCCATCCAATTATCTCTTTATCTCTCTGCTCCAATGCCCATACATTTTACACTCTCCAATCACCATTTAATAATCATATTATGTTCACAACTCTTCACGTTTTCCAACTCTTTCACAAACTTATCACCCACCAGATATGGAAACTGGTAATTTGTACACAGACATGGAAGATGGGACAGCTAGGGTTTTCCCTTGTTTATTTTGTTCGAGAAAGTTTTACAGTTCTCAAGCATTGGGAGGCCATCAAAATGCTCACAAGAGAGAAAGAAGTGTTGCACGAAGGGCTAAAAGGACATCCGAATATGGACCGACGGGCAACTTTTCATCTTCCCCGACGTTGCCTATTGTTTATGCACCGGCGAGCCACCATTTGAGCTTCTTACAGTACCCTCCGATGTATATAACAGCTCATGCTGCCAACTTCCGTTCATCCTCGAATCATCATCACCATTTATCTGACTGGTTCCGGTCGAATGGTCCGGCCAGGTTTAGTAATAATTGTTATTACCGCCGTCATGAAACTGAAGAGGAGGAGCAAAGTTGGTTCAATTGGCAAAGGAGCTTAAGGTGCAATGGAGACTTCAGTACTCAGCAGCTAGCAACGGCGGTCGACGGTGATAATCAAGGCGTCGGAGGGGCTGTCCATAAGGAGAAAGAGCAAAAGCTTGACCTATCTCTTCATCTATGAATTAAGAGAGAATGAATGATGAGCAATTCCTTTTGTTAGATTAATTGCTGTTTTTTCTCCCTTTAATTCTTCGTTTCTTCTACTACATGCTTTTACAATAAAAAAAGATGCGATGATTTCATTCTTAAATTAGGATTATTATTTTAAACTAATACTCAAACTTTTGAACATTTCAATTTCATCCTCAAACTATGACTTCCATTCTAAATTGGTCTCTGAACTTTTGAACATTCCAATTTTATCATAAACTATATGTATATATTATACACATCCCATGTTGATAAAATCATTAGGCTAAGTTATACTATTATATGTTTGAAAAAAAACAAAATTTAGGTTAAACTGAGGTCGAAACTAATTACATGTTTAGATGAATTTATGATTGAAATTGGAATACTCAAAAGTTTGGGGACTAATTTAAAAAATTGGTTAAAGGTAAGGGATGATATTAAAATATTCAAAAGTTTAATAAGACAATCCGACAAGAAAGGTAACTTGATCCCAAAGCCATAGCACCTATTTTTTCAAATACTAAAATTTTGGGGTTGGGTTTAGCCACTAAAAATGTACAGGTCACGAGTAAGTTATGGACCAAAATTTTTAATCCGTTAGACAAGCGGGTACCCGGTTTCTTTTGTCATGTCGAAAGGGATATAAATTATCGAGTTGGGTCGAGTTTTTAGTTAATTAGACTCAGCCTGAAAAATATGTATCTTTCACATGAAGATTATTGATCAAAGCTACGAAAAGATAAAAAGAAACAGCAACAATAACAACATTAAAGTTGGTAATAGTTCTTCAAGGGTAGCCAACCATAACACCTACATAACAGTCCTCGGCTTTTGTCTTCAATTTTTTAGATGCTTGGATACTGCTCATCCAGTTCCCTCAGGATGGGAATCAGAACCTCAGGTCCTAGAGGCTTCTAGATGAACCCCCATCATCTTGCAAGTCACCCCCATTGCACGAATCCGCCTCGTAGCCTGCCATAAAACATGTAAGGCCGATAAGATACTCTCGTTTTCTCGAATCGTGATGCGCCTTCGAGTACAGTGCCGGTGTATGTCCTAAAAGTTTTGGTGCACATAGAGTCATGTGACACATTATTGTTTTTCAAGCGATGTTTACCTCAAGGCCGTCAAGAATGGGAAGAAGCATGTCGATGAGGATAAGGTCGAATTTCGCACCCGAGGCAATGAGCTCGATCGCAGCGTCGCCGTTGTTGACAGTTTCAAGTCCATGAGCTTGAAGAATTCCTTGTTGCAGCAACCGGCAAAAATTGTCACCATTAATGACAAGAGCCGTCAACCTGTTCCTCAGAACAATCTCATTAAACGTAAATGGCCTCTGTCTTGTCCTCCATTGCCCGACTTGGCCCCGTCTGCAGCCGGCGCCATCGAGACTAGAACCTGTTATTTCAACGTAAAAAAAAGATTTGGACAAGAAATTTAATTACTAGAACAAAAACCCAAAATAAACGAAGATCAAACTTGATTACTTGAACTACAAGAAATTGAAAACTGCTCACCTACTTTTAGCAAGCAACTAGGGGATTGAATTGGTGTGAAAAGTTTGTATGTTCAAGCATGGTGAAAGTTCTTACAAACCATATGTTAAAATTTTGAAATATAACCCAAACAACAACACAACAAATCAGATTTCATTTGAAGACAGTCAAATTCTTTTTACACATCAGGTCAACAAGTTGCTAAGCTCTTCTAAAAGAACCCTAGAAAAAGATGCTTCACAGACCTCAATGCACAATGTAACAGCTTGACGAACACCCGGATTTGGGTCATTCAACAGCTGCAAAATCTGATAAAAGAATTGATATTTCAGCTTGACAAACCATTTTGGAAATGTTAAACAGCCTACAGGAGGAAGAATTGCCAGTTGAAGTGGAAGTTCAGTAGACTGATCAATGCATGTGATATGTTATTGATTTAATATTTTTACATAAGTTTAATTAATGATTTGACAGATATATTATCATTTTATGACATGATACATAATATATTATTATTTTAAGTGATATGATATAATATATCATCACTTTAGATGATATAACATAATGTACATCATCACTTTCGGTGATGTGGTACATGACATATCTCAAGAAAAGCCTAACTTCTTGACAAAGCCAAAGCAACAACCCCTATAGGACATATCTCAAGCTAAAGATTTCTTAGTTGCTTCAATTATATATTCACGTTTCCATAATTAAAATAAAATAATTTTATTAAACATGACATGCAAATAAATATCTTAAAATTTATATAATTAAAACATTGAATTTTATATAAAGACATTATTTTAAACATATAATTATGATATGATAAAACATAAGATAACGATATTACATCAAATTATCTAAATACTAAATATATGTTAGAGAACGAACTTATAAAATTTTAATACGTAATTATATGATAAATTCAAATATTTGAAGGAGACGATGTCTCTTATCAATCCTTATCGATCCATCGTTATATATATATATATCAGGTCGTTGAATCCATGGCCATGATGGTGCTTAAGTTCATTGGATTCATATACTGAGTAGATGCCACCATGAACTGCTGAACGATCAACCGATTGGCTCTCTCACTGGGGTGGAAACTGTCCCAGAAGGCGTAGACGTATCGTTTGGGGAAAAGATTTGACAATCTGGTGCACAATCCTAGTCCATTGTAGGGTCCTTGTCCACAACATGCTACCTTTGCTGTCTCGAAACCTGTAAAAGGAAAATATAAGTGAACAGGGATGAATCAAGGGGTAATGGGGTACGATTCTATCTTCTAAAATTTTTTAATAATTTTTTTTTAGATTATAATGAGGGTATGTTATTATTAATCGGTTGATTACATAGGGGATTGTATGCAGAGAAACTAACCAAATCTTTGAGGGTTGGAGATGAAGTCCATGTTCATCGAAAAGGCATTGGCCGAAACGAAAACGTCGGAGCCGAGCTGGGAGTTGAGTTGTTGGATTAACTGGACAAGTAAAGGGTTGAATATGTTTGCTGCTTGTTGGATTTCCGGCACACATTCCCCGTTCCTGCTCCGCATGGCTAGCTCGGCCGGGACGCAGCCTAATGGTCCGGTACTTGTCACCAGGACCCGTCGACTGCCTAATTCGTACAACCTCTGTAATCGTATCAAATTAGGCTGTTATAATCTATGTTATACGAACTTTCCTTAAAGCATTGTTGTATTCAAATATACGAGTATTTACCAGGAGGATTTTCCGGTATTCGGAAACGAGATAGCGGCAGTAATCTGGGAGAGAAAATTGGCGTGATCGAGCCGACAAAGGTACCAAGAAATAGTTGTTAACGAAATCGTTGCCGCCGAGTGTGATGAGAACCAGTGCTTGGTTAACTAGCCGCTGTGACTGTTGTTGTCCTACCATCTCAGTAACTCTTCTCTGATATTCTTGAAAGTACTCAAATTGCCTGAACATCCTTATTATGTTGACCTAAAAAAGGGCCAAATATCAGTATCTCATTGACGACTCGGTCCTAACTCGATCAATATAATTATCGTTACATAAACTTAGAGATTTATATGTTCGAGTGTGACATGCATCGAGATTTGTTTGAACTTACGAACTGAATTCCTGTGTCGTTTAAGATACCGATCCCGGAAGAGGCGAAGTTGGCACCAACAAGTAGTTTTTGGCCACGGAGTTCAGGGCTCAATTATGGCAATGTAGGCTCCGAGCCAATTTGCTCACCTAAGCACAAATTTTAAACAAATCAATGTAACGTCACAAATGAAAACTACATGTGAAAGTTAAAATGTGGAGCATACTGATAATGTCAGGGAGGTTTAAGCCGTTGGAGAAGCGGCCTGTCGGCGTCGGATAATCGACGCCGTATGGCGAAGAATCTGCACGGGCAGTAGTGGCTAAGTAGTTGTTGTTGCCATTATCGACGAGCGAGTCACCGAAAACAAAGAAAGCTCGAGCCTCGGCTAATTGAGCAGGTGAAACCATAATAGCGATTACAGTCACCAAGTTAACGAAAAACATAGGACTTGACATTAGGGGAGAGACAATGTGGGTCTCCCTGAACGTCTCTGTTTCTTTGTTTTCTTTCTCTAGGGTTTGTGTTTGAACGATGGGGATGATGATACATGGTTTTATACGGGGTTTTGAGGTGTGGGTCTTCTCCTCTGGTTTTTAATGGTGAAAAGACCTTTCTTTCACTTGCATGGGGCCAAAGAGTGTTGTTCGGAGTTTCGGAGGAGTTTTCTTTTTTGCTCTTTTCATTTTTATAATTTTATTTTGATTGATCTAGATTGATTTGGATTATACATTTAATTATGATGTGCGAGTCTTTATGTAGAAAATTTTTACATACAAAAAAAATATATAACTCGAGACATGTTTAAACGATATTAAGTTACTTACTATTTGAATCAACCTTGTCAATAAATTACAATTTTTTTTAAAATATTAAGATTTGAATTTTTAGTCCGTTTAATGTTATATGGTAACGTTCTTAATCGAAAAAGAAAACCCTGTCAATAAAGTCCACTTAATTCGTGCTAATATATATATATATATAACGATTAACTAATGACTTTTTATCTAGTTTAGAAGGAGTGAATCTAAGTTGTCGACCAAACCTCCATTCACAACTCTTTTAACTACAATAAACTTCCATTCAATATAGTACATCTAAACAAAAATAATGTTTAAAATATTAAAATTTATGACCAAAATTATATCTTAAAAGATAGGGTAAATTACACATTGAGTACTTAAACAATCAATTTTGATCTGTTTTAATACCTGAATTTTCAATTAAATGTGTAGTAAACCCTAAAAGATAATTAAGCTTTGGATTTGGAAGGATGAGATAGGCCATCAATGATCCATGGTAGTACCTTTGAAAATCTTGGCTTATTCAACAACAAAAGAGGCTACAGATGGAAGGCAGCCGGTGGATCATAATGGTGATTGGATTCTAAATGTTCATATCTCACATATCAAATACACAGCAGCACCGATTAGCATGTAAAATCATGCTGTGGACAGACCATTCTGTTTTAAATGTTTTGTTAAACAGTTTGAAGATGTAATATAAGTGAGCCCACTAAGATGTTTGCCTTACTCATGGATCTTTGTTAATCTAAGACAAGGATAATTTAGATTTTCGTTTCTATTATTTATAGGGTAAACTACACGGTTAATCAATAAACTTTGACAAAATTTTCATTTTGATCACCGATTTTTTTTCTCCAAATTAAACACCAGGATTACCTATTATTTCCATTTTAATCATTCATGTTAGATTTTATTTTTATTTTAGTCACTTTCATTAAATTTTATGTTGGAATCGAGCTTTAGAAGACAATGGCGTGCCTGAAGAAGTGAATGTCGATATCGAGTCTCAACATGCAACGTCAATGACGCGCAGAGTAAAATTCAACGCGGTTGGCAAATAAGAAATTGGTGCAGATCGTAGTGAATATCTTGACGTGATCAGTAGGTAAAAATTTAGCACGTATCGTGAAAAATATCTCAATACGATCGGTAGATAAAATGTTGACATGTACCACGTAAGATATTTAGACATGATCGACAGGTAAAAAAAATCAGTGCGGACCGTAAAGGACATCTTAATGCAATAGACAAATAAGAAACCGATCAACATTACAGAGAAAATCTCAACACGATCGAGTAAATAATGAAATCGACACTAACCGAACCATAAAATATATCTCGAAATATTTTATTTACACTCGTAAGGGAGAATCCAATACATATGAAGTCGACATCGTACTAATAAAGGCAGCGTCTAACATCCACAAGCAGTAGTAGATGCTGCTGTTATCATCTGGGTTGGCTGGCGAAGATGGATCACCCAAGCCATTAACCCAACTCCTAAACCTATATACGTAACAATCAACGTCTAAAATATTATTTTCGGATATTGCTTTTGGTTCAAGCGTTTCTCCTTACAATTTTGGGGAAAAAGAACCTACTATATATTGTGTAGGATTTGGAAAGCCAACTCTCTTTCCATTTCTTATACTAATAGTTCTAACCACCATATATATATATATACGCGACTTCAATATACAAGAAGAAGATTGCACCAACTGATTGAAGTAAACTTTGAGTTCACGAAAATCACTTTACTTCTGTTAATAAGTGTTATTCCTTTCTCCAAATATACATATTTATGATTACATATCTCCAAATCAAAGGAGAAAAGGTTGAGAATATTGGAAGATACTAATGCGGGAACGTCTAAGGGACGATATCCTAATTTAATGCCAAGGATATGGTAGTGAAAAGAGAGCAACCGAAAACGTTATCATAACAATTTCGGTTGAGTGCAACTTAAAATGTTAGTTTTTTCAAACATTTTTCGACTACACACCTTCGTAACATTTTCGGTTGAACCAAAAATGTTATGCTTTTTATAACATTTTCGGTTCGTCCATTTCCCGCCATTCCTTAGCCTTAAATTAGGCTACCGTACAACAGACCTTCATAGTCTGGGTAGTCCAAAGTTGTAAATTAGAGGGAAGCTTGAGTTGAGACAGTATGTGAATAAATTTTCAATATCGCAACCAAAGGCTAACCATTTCCCCAGGGTACTGACAATCATTCTGAGCCTCCTCCTCAGCTTGGTTAGATGTAAGTGGGTCACATTCCACCTCAAGCTATAGTCGTCCTTTAGCAAGTACATAAAAACAGCCTGGCCTTCCCTCCTTCATTTAATGATAACATCGGATTGGAGAATAAATATTGAATTATATACCTAAAACTATAGCAACACCTCCATTAATATCCATCACCAGAGCAACGTGCAATGTTCTCATCTATACAACTAACGCACATAGAGTCATGAGTGAGGTGAAGGACCTAATATGATATCGTCGATTATGGATTAATAGTTAAATTATTATATAAACTTTCATGCAGCATTCAACAAATAAGCTGGTTAAGATCGTGTCATTCTTCAAAATCAAATTCACAAATAATATATAGTTAATAGTCTGATGGTGGAAGGGGAGGTAACTGAACCCCAAAAAAAAACTCAGGACTTACCGGTTAAATCAATGACTGCATCTTCCACAAGTTCTTCTAGCAACCTCCATTCTATTTCTCTTCCCAAGTTGTCTGTTTCCAATTTCATATTATCAAGCCACCCTTTGCCCACTACTTCTTTCTGCACCACTTTTTCCACCACAAGGCTTTCGCTGTCCCTATCGTCCCACACCAAACATTTCACCTCGCCGGAAAACCATTCCTTCATTTGGGCCCATACATGGTCAACCAGCATGGGTGATGCACCCTCCTTGGCTTTCATCTGGGCCCTTCCAATTGACATAGCTCTCTTGCAACTGTCAGATCCATAGCCCGTGAGTTCTAGTAATGCTGCATTGACACAGTCAAACACGAGCTTCCTGTTTGACCTCCACTGTCCTCGCCTAGCCCTATGCAGAGGCTCCTTGTCATTCAAATCAGCATATTTATCTCTCAAGCATGGGTCCAATGGGCTTTCAGGCGAATGCCACCTGGCAATAAATGAGTCAAAATGCACCTCCTCACTGTTCAGACCAGCAGCTGATAATAGTAATTGGACAAATAAAATCCAATCCCGTTCTTGCTCATTGGTGCTCGGGGAAACTGAAGAGAGTTTTGAAGGGTATAACAATGTTGCGTCCGAGCAAGAATTATCCCATGAGAGGGTGCGGGCAATTGATTCTATAGGAGGTGACTTGTCAATCAAGTTAGACCTAAGTGGCACTCCCACTCCTGTATTAATAGAAAGGGCAATAGATGAGGATCGAGGAAAAGAGAAAATAATAATCACGCAAATTAAAATTTTCCAAATTTAATAAGTGAAGCTTACCTAGGTGCACTGGTTTAATACCACCTGAGGACTCTGAAATTGTGTTCTCATCCTCATCAAACGGAGGTTCTAAAACCGAGATAGGGCTAGGTTGTTCCTTATTCTCACTTATATGGGAAGGCAACAAAGGTTTTTCTACAGAAAAACATCCCTACAAAAGGTAACCACGTACGTAGAAATGATTAAAGTCATACAAAAACTCAAAAGACAAAATATCTTATAACAAGTTGGGTGCTTCTGTCCTCTTAAGTTATCTAAAACTATGACCAATATTTTTCATAAACCCTTAATCAGTTCTTCCAACTGAAAAAGGTGAAGATTTTCCCTTTTTGTTCAAACAAATTAAAATTGCTATATTACTACCACCCTCAATCCTTTGCATTGGCAAAATGTATTCTAACTCCACTAGAGGAATTATTTATTAACAAAACCCATAGGAACTGTTCCATTAAATCAGCAAAATCTATTCAAACTCTATTTCCGGAATTATGCCCATTCACGTCCAGCGTCCACAACTGCAGAGAATGAGGAATGGACATTTGACGTTCATGTGCTACCCGCTTTCCTAGATTAAACAAATGGGAGGCAACATATTTCAATGCATAAAAACTAGAGCAGGTTGGTTTCAATGCATATATGTAATCAATATATAAACATGTGCAAAGCCAGAAACTAAGTTTGAACTACCTCCACAGTGATAATCCCTTGTTTCTGTCCCGTGCCAATCAAATCTGGTAAAGGAGTTTTACTTGCGGATCCACCCAGAACAGGAGATAAACACTCCTGGATGTAGCTTTCATTTGAACATTGAGATGCATCATTGCTTAAATTTCGAGAGTGAATTAAGGGTGACCCTGGTGTTCCAGGAGTCAGAGATGGAGATTCATCTGTAGGTTGAGATTCACTATATTTTTCTTTATTTGTTTTCTTATTCTTCGAGAAAAGTAAACTTGAAACCTTCCCCTTTAAAGATGACTTCATACTCTTTGCCTTCATAAGTTCTTTGGGAATTTTTTCTTTGCTATCTTCAGGATCTGAAACTTCAACATTAAGCCTGACATCATACGTCGTGGAAGACCCAGGCAAAGATTTTGACCCCAGAATATTCTTGGGAGAATCACTTGTACTTTCTTCTTTATAAAAATTACCAGTTATGCAGGTTGATCCCCTAGCTTCTTGTTCCTTACTAGCTATGCAGGAAGTTGATCCTCTAGCTTCTTGTTCCTTACTACTTCCCTCTCCTTCCGATCTGACCAACTTCTTTGTATCAGAAAGGGCAAGCATCTCACCCAATGTGCTTGAGCTTCTTCTGCCATGGCTTCGTTCTTGAGAACTCCCATTTGATGTCATCATAGCCCATCTCTCTGATAGCCGCTTCTTTGCTTCCCTACAAACCGAGGACTCGGGAGTATATGATGCACGACTGAAGGGAGAGGAAGAATAAGGACTAGCAAACCTATTTATGTAATCCCATGAATGTCTAGAAGTTGGTGACATGACCTCTGAATCACTGAGGTTTTCCGCAGCATACTCATTTTCAGATCTATTATATGAACTATCATCACCTGTGTAACCATTGGAAAACACGTAAGAAAAAAATGTTTCATCCCTCATGTGACCCATCATGTTTTCACGCATCTGCCTAGTGATTTCCTTCGCCACTTCTTTATATTCTTGTGCATCATCTTCTTCAGGTTCCTCACAGAAATCTCCACCAAATAATATCCTAGGTGAAGGGGAAGATGAAGATTCTAGAGTTCTGATAATGTCCTGAGTCTTCCCAGGACTGGGCTTCAATACCACTATTCTAGTTGGTTGGGAAGAATATTCATCAACTTTTGGACTGGGGAAAGGAGAAGATGCAGTGTTATTTCTACCCCATCCAGTTACTTGACCTGTCTGCATTGGCTTCTTGGCCTGCTTACCACCCTTGTCACCTGTTCCAGCAAATTGTTCTCTGTCAACCATCTTAGAAGGTCTAAGAACAGTAATACGCTTTGTCTGAGGAGGTAGAGAAAAACTCCGGAAATTGTTGAGATGTTGAGAGAAGGTGGAATTCGGCTCTTCCAATAACTTGAGAAATAACTCTCTATTGGAACTCAAAACTTCCACTGCATCTTGAAACTCCTTGGTATGGCGAAGCTTTTCATCTGTAACCAGATGTTTCACTTCCATAAATTTCTGACGAACTACAGCCATTTTATTCTCATTTGCATTATGAATATACCTCCCTTTTTGTGCAGAGCTATCTCTTGAATAGGTTGTTCTTGGATGTTGTTGCCAGATTTCATAGACATCTTTGAATTTGTTTGGCACTTCACAAGGTCTTGCTTCGCATTGCATTTGCTCCTCTGGAAAACTTTGATCTTGCCCCCAGCTTTCCACTGGTACCTCAGAATGACACAAAGAATGTTGAGAAGAACCATTGAAACGGCATCTTTGTGGAGATGAATTATGCTGCTGCCTTGGTAGCGTATCAAGTCCCATCAACTTAGCAACCACACTGGGTGGATTACGCTTAGACTCCACATCTTTTGACATTTCTTGGGCCAGGAGCATCTTCATGGGTGTTACATTACCTTTCTTGCTTGACAAAGTTCTCCTTAACTCAGATACCATCTGAACACACCAATAGAAATAAAACAGGTGAGAATACAAGGTTATTTAATTTTTATAATTCAAGTGGAAGATATAGGGACAAACAGAGTCTCTTTCAGCTTGCTTATAATAATTACTATTGTAGAGACTAAACGCCCAATATTTACCACTTTATCCTCTATTGGATCTCCAAAGGCGGGACTTAACATCCTTACAACATCAGATTGACTCCTCGAGTGTGAGGACCCTGCCCATCAACCAGCACTGTTAAAATAGCAAGAGAAATATAAACAACCAAGAATACCGATAAGTAACCCTAGATTCATGCATACAATTGAAAGTCAAAGTGATTATTGAGGGAGTGAGAGCTGCAACTTAACATTTCCAGTGAGCTAGAAAGGCAAATAAAAGGCAAGCGTCATTAAGGCAATCAACATGAGTTAGAACACATGATCCCAGTATCAAATAAATTCCATTATCTTAAACCATTCTAAAACTTGAAAAAAATCGTGAGAAAAATATAAAGGTATTAGCTATACGCAGTAGTTAACTTTTGCAAATGACATTTTATAGAGCACTGAAATTGCTTCAATTAACATGGGGCAAAAAGAATGCTCATGCATAGAATTGAAGGGAAAAGGAATAGTGAGACAAATGACAATCATGTTATAATCCCACTACCCAAAAGACAAAATGTTTACATTTCAAAAACAAAACAAACAACAAAATATACTAGCTTCTTCATGGAAAGGAAGTCACCATCATGTTGTGGTTTATCAGTAAGCAGGCGGTTTCCAGGAACACCCGAGTTCAAATCAAACAGGTTTACCATCCTGCCCAGGCATCCTGAAAATTTTTCAATATTCTGACCTTTCCTCTGTTGAATCCCATTCATTTCAACACCTGTTAACCACACAGATCAAAAGTACCGCATTCACTTCCAAGATTTCTCTCCCCAAACAAAATGGTAAATCAAAATCGTCCAAGAGACAAGGCAAAATGTCAAATTCAAGCTGCAAATCAGTTACATGAGAGCACAGGCATTCCTGGAAACTTCCCAATATACCTTTCCTTTGCTGAATCCCATTCATTTCAATACCTGTTAACCACACAAATAAAAAGCACAAAATGCATTACCAATATTTTCCCTTAAAATAAAATTAAAAATAAAAAACTACTAAGAGAAAAGAAAGAAAAAGAAGTCTAATTCAATGATGACTCAAGATTAATTGGAATTGCAGGAACATTATAATCCTAAGTCCCAACTCCCAACCAAAAAACAATACTCCTAGAATTCAAACATGTTTTCTCTCCCCATTCCATACCTCGAAACCAATTTAAACATCCCCCCCCCCCCAAAAAAAAACGCACCCATGTTTGAAAAGCAAAGAAGAAATGGAGAAAAGGGAACTTGATTTTAAATGGATGTGATGAATATAAAGTTCAGAAAAAAGACAAATCTAATATTCTTACAGAGTGAAAACTTAAGAAAAATATTCTCTTTTCCTCACATGTATCACATCACACGTCGCTATAACCTCTGAACAAAAAACTGTTAAGTGTTCTTTCTATTCAGAGAGTCGAACTTTTACCCTAATATGAAAGTGATCGAAGTAAGGAATCAACTGCATTCAATGGAAAATGAGAAGAAATATATCAAATAAAGATAATTATTAATATCTAAATCAAGTAAAGAGAACGGGACTTTGAGATTAAAAAACTAGAATATGTTGAATCAAAAAGAAAGAAATCGAAAGTAAAATAGATAGCTTGAGAAAAGCTGAAGCAACTGCAGAGCTAAAGAAAAGCAAATCTAGAAACAGAGATTTCAAATTCATTTTGCAGTAACATTTCTGTAACAGTATTAAAGTCTTCTAAAAAAATAGAGATCGAAGAAGTCCGCCAGAATCAGTGAAACTAAAAGGTGCTCCTCAGCTCTCCCTATAAACGGACAATGCCAAGGAAACGCTGCCGTTTCCCGTACGGTAAGAAGCAGAGGCTAGATTAGAGAGGAACAGAGAGAGAGAGAGAGAGAGAGGGAGAGAGAGATACTTACTAAACAGAACCTAACATCACGTGAAATGCGGTCTTAGATTCACCGGAATCTGAAAATCACGGCGGCAACCGGCGGCTCCGTTCAAGTAAAATGCTTGTATTGAGATGAAAGCTATGGGAGAGAAGGAGAGGGAACTTGGCTTTTTGAAGTTTAGCTTATTTTGGTTACGAAGTAAAATGCTTTTTCTCTCTCCACCGACCCTGAGTCTCTGAGTGCCGGAATGGCTTATTTAATCATGATTCATTTATGAGTTTCGATTCCGGAAGAAAAGCGAGAGGAGGAGGAGGAGGCAGATGTGAGGAGCGAAATTTTGGGCTGAGTTGAGCGAGTGGGAGCGTAAACGAGTTAAGTATTGTTCCTTTTAACTCATAAAAAGCTAATAATTATGAGTTAATGATTTTTCTTCACCTTTTTTATTTATTTACGTCCTCTGTTTCTTTTTTATTTTCCATTTAACCCCTTGCTTATTCTGGACTTTTGTTTTGCTGCCCAAGACAATTTAGGCGTTTTCTCAGCTATATCTCCTACTTCCTAGTAATAGTTTTGACTTCTAAGACACCTTAATAGGTCTAATTATAATTTTAACAAAAATATTCTAACTTGTAAACTTTTTACATCTCGATCTTCGAATTTTCAACTTTTTGTCAAACTAAATCAACTAACAAAAAATGATAGATATTAATAATTTGTATATTTTTACAATTTTCATTTCATTTTTCCTATTTTTATAAAATCTATTAATTTTCAATAATTTAAATATATTTGTTACATTTTTTCTAAAAATTCAATCGAATCAAAATTATTTCACTTGGAAACTCACTTTATATAGTATTTAAAACTTTTTGGGTAAATTACATGTTTAGACCTAAACTATCAATTTAAGTATGTTTTAGTACTTAAACTTTCATTTTTTAAATCGCACATAACGTTTAATTTTTATTTCGTTTTAGTACTTCAAAATTAAAAACCTAACGATTTGCATGTGACACATTTTTATATGTAAATTATATCATTTATCACTCAACTATCTTCTCGCTCCTATTTTGGTTACTATAGTTTAAATTTTTTAATTTAGTTACTTAACTTTAAAATTACTCCAAATTCAATCACTCTAATTTTCAAATTTATTTTTTTATTTTTAATTATAAATTACTAAAATAAAAAATGTAATTTCTCAGAAATTATTAATAAATAAATTAGGATGATTAAAAAAAGAACAATTTGAAAGTTTAGTTAAAAAAATTAAACTTTAGTACCAAAATAAGAGTAGAAAGATAGCTAAGGGATGAATGATGTAATTTATCCATAAAAATGTAGCCGTTATATTTTTAATGGCGAGGTAACAAAATGAAATAAAAACTAAACGTTATGTTTGATTTTAAAAAAATTAAAAGTTTAGATACTAAAACATAATTTACCCAAACTATTTTATTGATTTGCCAATGGCAGGCAAACTTGGCAGCCTGGCAGGTACAAAATCACCTTTTGTTTATGGATACTTGGGAAGTGGAACTGGGTAGTGTACCTAGAAAGATTTTTGGGCTTTAATGCTTATGTTTTCCCCTTTTATTTACCATACAGTTAATGAACAAATAATGGGCAACGATATTTCTAGCAAAATTCTTACTGCTAGTTGCTGTGCCACATTTAGTAAATGCCAGACTAGTTCAGCTGCTAAGAATTAAGATTCATCAATGTTCTGTCTCTCTGCCCTATTAAAACCCTGTCAAAGAAAATAATAAATTTTCAGTGCCGTCGTATAAACATTATGGCCAATAACTCAATATCAATGACGTGAAGTACTATAATGCAAAACAATGACTTAAAGTATGTAACATCATGTTATGATGATTTTAAAAACAATGACTGTACATACATACATACATACACACACAGATAGAGAGAATTGAGAGAATAAGAAATTATCAGAACCTGCTTTAAGATTTCATACTAACTAATGGAATTAACATCAACTGCAACAACTATGTTTTTCCCCTTCCTAGAATTCTACTTATCATGATGCATCATTGATTCTTGCCTCAAAATATGTCCTGGGTAATCAACCGGAGAAACTGCCACCATTAAGGTGTAAGATTCCGAGTTTTCTCTTATTTTTGTCTGCGACCTGCATTTTCTGCGACGAATGAATATGGCCATGTGGTTGGAGCAAGTTTTAACGATGCCATTGATTCCTGGGTCACATGTAATTACTAGAAAAAAAAACTCATTGGTTATCTTCATGATTTTCATGGTCCGAATATGAGATCTAAGAAAGATGCAACCACCTTGAATACCCTATGATTTTCATGGTATGCAACTATGCATTACTGTCAGATGACTAGAGGAACTCCATCCACCTAAAACTTCAATATGGTTTAAATTCACTAAAAAAATTAGCCACTGCGTTTGTTGGCCAACGAGTGAAAGACAGCAGCATCGATGCATCATTTAGGCTTCAAAAGCATGTGGACATGGTAAAAAAGCAAGGACCACATCAAAGGGATATTTGACTTGAATATGACTAGTATATCATATGTTCTTTAACCCAGGCTGGATTTAAAGGAAAGGGATTCACCTGATCTTTGTCCCGAGATATTGGAAATAGAAAGATCGCTGGTCATGGATGTCTAGCATGTCTTCATTGCAGTTTATAAGGCTTCTATAATGTGTACCCACCAAATGAACTCTCAGATTCATCTTCACTAAGAAAGTTCAATGTAGCATGTCCAATTTGTATTCTGATAACTAGTCCTTTTATTCATGTTTATAGAATCCCATTCAAGCAGTGGAAAGTGTGGCTCTCTTCCAGGCAAAGATCTAGTTGGATCATACGAATCATCAGGCTTTTAGAAAGAACTGAATGATAGAAAAGATCCATGTCTCATAGATAGAAAGCCAACAGTAGAGTCACCTTCAATGCAAGAGATGGGATTTCTCTATCTTAGCTCGTAGGTAGACGAGTCTAAATTATTTTGAAGAGTGTGATAGTTGTTATACAGAGGAGATAGATATTAGAGAGCACAGTCTCTCTCGACCTGTTTGACCAGTAAGATGTACCACTGAAGGAATCCCATTCAAGCAGTGGCAAAAGAGTTTCTCTTGCAGGTAAAGATCCATTTGGGTCATGCAAATTATCTGGCTCTTTGGAAGAAATAAATGGTAGAAAAGATCCATGTCTCTCAAATAGAAAGCCAAAAGTTGAGTCACCATCAGTGAAGGAGGTCAGTTTTCTCTCTCTTAGTTTGCAGGTAGGTAACTCCAAATTCTTTTGAAGAGCACTGTGATTGTTATAGGCTGTAGAGTCGATATTAGAGATGATGGTTTCCCTCGACATGTGATATGTCTGATTCTGACCGATAAGATGATATGTCCATTTTCCAAATATGACGGTGTATCTTGAACTTCAAAGATTTTCCTTGTTGGCAACCTATCAAGTTTCTTGGTAGGAATATCAGACTTGGGGCAGCCAAATAACTCAGATTTGGTAGTGCTCTCCAATGGTGAAGACGCCACACTTCTGTAACCATGCAAAAACCATTTTTTTCTCTTTTTCAATATTGTCATAAAATTAACAGAAGAATCCATATAATGCAAAAAGTTGCAAGAACATACATTCTTCTCATTGCTCCAAGGAAAAAGACGACTAGGGAGCATTGAAATGACATCATACCTGAAAGAACATCTACTCAGTGCATGATATGAATTGTGAACAAATGAAATTAAACTTTTGTAATGACAACTTGACAAGTCTAACCCCTTGGAATGGAGTTCCTCTATCTCAAGAAATGAGTTACCAGCCCATTGACGGAGGTTCTGCCTCTTTCTAGGAAAATAATTCCGTTTGATCAGAATAAGATCCTGAAAGTTGAAACTACTTGATTTTGTTTCATGAAGTTTTAGCAAATGACTAATATAATTTCAAACAGCAGATGACATTTTCGTGTGTTTTTTCTATACAGTTTGAAAATCCAAGGTCAAATATGCAGCATTGCCCTATATCCATTTTCAGTAAAAAGTATTGTAAAAGTATTTCCACCTCCTGGTTTCTTGTAGTCACTATGATGCTCTAGCCAATCTTCTACACTGAATATAGGCTCAACAGCTGAAAACGCAGTCTTCAAATTTACCTCTGTCAACAACCTTCTTGAAAGAAAAACTTCACAATTTTGGCTTCGTGGGGACTGTACATGAGAAATTTAACTTAAGAGTTTCAACTGAGGATTGATCATGGACAATAAAAGTTGGGAACTTTGGATTGATACCAGGACAATACTCAAAGAAGTACGAAGATTCAAAATAGAACTATGATTTATGAACAAAACTTTAATGTCATAGACTAATATGTACATTAATGAACTGCAAATACACCCCTATACATTAATAGGGTAACAAATGACTAGCCCAAATGATAATTATCGAAGCACAACTACACAGCAGTTGTTAAAATATAAATATATCAGTCAGTGAAACAAGAGATTGATGCAAACAAGAACCAAAGAATCCACTTTACAGCGCATACCCGAATTATTCACTGCTCTGTCAACCGGAGGGAAATGAATCTAAGTTGATAGCTGTCACATTGTTAATGGGCAACGGTGATCTTGAGTCCTTAGAGACCACTTTTTCAGTGGTCGACTGCGACCCCAATTACTTTGAGCTAGCATTTCTGACAGACGGGGACCCAAAGTCCTGATCGATTTTTAGTAATGTTGGTCCCTTCTGAGGACATAGAGAGGTTCCTAACTATTCTAGTCCCCTCTGCCGAGCAAGGAGGAAAATATCATAATTGTTAAGCGAGAAACAAGGAATTTAATGTACCGAACGAAATGAATGTGATATCAGTCAATTTCTGTTAAAGGGCAATACCTGACTTAAATCATTGAATGCAAATCAAATCTTTTGGCCCGCATCTTTCTTCAGTTTCTTGAAAAACGTAAATTCAGAAGTTTAGGAACCATTGTAAAAACAAAATTCTGTAAACGCTTAGTACACATGTGCAAGCAAAAAGGAAAAGAACAGGTAATCTAATTGAATTCCATTAAATTAGGCGTTTAGAAGGAAATTATCCAGGAACATATTTTCTGTCTACTCGAACAAGAGCTGGTAGAGAATTAAACAGGGCGAGCTCGAATTTGAAAAAGAAGATCCAGAGAAGCTCAAATTAGACTCTACCTTCGTTTAATAAATGAATCAATGGGAAACAAATAACAGGGGGAAAACAACCTCGATTTGATCGGGAATCGGATAGGGTTAGGAGCTCCTAACTTTGGGCTGAGCTGCAGGAGATGAAATTCGAATTGGATACTGATCTTCAGGGGTAAATTTCGTGAGATCTCTTCATTTTGATCTAAGTTCTTTCTTTTGTTATTGGATACCTGGGATTGGTTAAAACCAAAAACCCTAGCGTTTGTTTGGATGATGATTGGATTGAGAAACTGAGACTAGTGATGAACTATGACCGTTGTTTGGGGAAAGAAACTGAAGTTTTGGCGCCTGAGAAGGAGTGCACCATACATCCATAAAATAGTTTATTTCTATATATTTTTTGGAAGAAAATAAATTTTACATAACCTTTTACTTATATATTAAAACTATATTTATATAAAATAATTATAAAAAATTACAATTTTAAGAAAATAAAAACAAATAATATTTAAGAAAACTATTATATTGGTAAATATATTTGAGATAAAAAATATAAACTAAAGTTAAATTCAAATCATGTTCACCTATATTGATATGTCTTAAGATTATATAATATATTAATTTTTATATTATATATTAATTATATGATAATCATATTTAAATTATGTGATAATTAAATATATAATATTATAATATTAATATTAAAAAATATTTATTATTTATATTAAATTTTTTAATAAATACATTTAACTAATAAATATTAAAATACAAAATAATATAATAACTAATAAATATAAGAAGATTTGAACATATTTTAAAATTCATATTTCGAATTAATTTTGATCCATGTATTATGTAAGTTTACGTTGAATTAAGGATATCTTCACTCTAACACATTTTTTAGTTTAATAATAGATGAATATCTAATGCAACAATGTATGATTTTATATTATAATGAATCAGATAATAATACATTACAAAAATAAATTTATTTTAATATTTAATTTATTAATAATGTATGAACATACATCACCAATTCATCAAATATTGTTCTTTTAATAATTTTAATATCTTTATTAGGGATGGGCATGAGACTCGAACCCGACAAGTTTCGACCCGACTTAATCGGGTCAGATTTTTTTAAAAAAAATAGAGTTCGGGTTGGGTCAGGTCGTGTTTTTTAAATGTGATATTTGGGTCGGGTCGGGTTTAAGGTGAAATCTTATTTTGGTCGGGTCGGGTCTCTGGTGGAGGATTCCTTGTTCTCGGGTCAGACCGGATGGACCAAAAACCCGACCCATGCGCATCCCTAATCTTTATTATATTATTTAATCCAAAAATCAGTTTAAGAGATATTATATTTATAGCAGATAAAAGGCCTGTGGCATGGGTATATTTATATGTGGTGAAAGGATGAGTTGCGATCATATTATACATGCAAAAGAGATATGGTGCATACGTGGCAGTTCCCTAGTGGAGGAAACGATTTAGTCCCAGTTTCTCAAGATCAGATAATTCTGGGGGCCAAAGAAAAAACAAGGAAAATCCTATTCATCCAACGCCTCTCAATCCCTCTTTAACAATTCTTCCTCCAAAAGATCAAGAGACATGGCTAGCAGCATGGCATCGGCTGCTTCAAGGTTCGTGCTTACACCCAATGTTCCAACCTCAGCAACTTCCAAGACCACCACTAACATGGTGTTTTTCCCTTCAAAGAGCAACAACAATTCAAGACTTGTTGTGAGGGCAGCTGAGGAGGAGGCTTCGCCACCGTCCCCAACCCCAGCAACCACCGTTACAGTACCGGAAGGCGGCGAGGCCCCCAAGCCTAAGCCACCTCCAATTGGACCAAAAAGAGGCGCCAAGGTTAGCCACCTCCAACTTCATATATGGCATGTCTGATAGCTTAAACACAAATATAGCATTGTTGTATCTTTATTTCAGATCATTACGAGTTTAGGGCTTATTTCAGATCGATCTGAGGTTAGCGTTGATCGAGTGTTTGGCCTTTGCTATAGGTTTTGAATTGGTTTTTGATGTCATAGGTGAAGATTCTAAGGAACGAGTCCTACTGGTACAACAGCTATGGATCAGTTGTGACAGTTGACCAGGTCACTCTTTGTTCTTTCCCCATGTGCATATGATTCTACGAGAAAACGATCTAATCTTACCTCCATTTTTGGTGCAGGATCCCAAGACTCGGTACCCGGTTGTGGTTCGATTCAACAAAGTGAATTACGCCAATGTATCCACCAACAACTACGCTCTGGATGAGATTGAAGAAGTTAAATGAGTCACTGTTCCATTTTGTCATATTTTTAGTTTTCAGTGATCCTATGTATGTATGTGTGTATGCATGCATGTTTGTAATATGTTCGACATTTATATATTCGAAGATGTGCCATATTTTCGGATAATATAATCCTTAGCATGGTTAAGAAATGTTTTTCTGGGTCAGTGGATTGAATCCTTAGTGCCTATTGTCAATACTGCTTTGAAGATGCATCATGTCGGATCTCAAAGCTAGCAGTTTAACAAATGTATAAGAACAGAGCACCAGCCAGACTCGGTTTTGAGTGCATATAAACCTTTGGTCCTAAACAATGTTTGAACAAAAATTCCGGTTCGGATCGATGTAAATTCGATCAAAAAACCTGTTAGATTCGTTTTATTATCATAACAGCAGAGTCCCCTCCGAATCATGGCATTACACGATGTAACCATAACTACTAAACTAACTACCGCAGGCAGTATATCTCGGTTCCTCTTGGGATAGAGATGAGGCAGAAATCTGTAAGATCTGTATTAAAGGACTAGACTAAAGGAAAAGGAAGCCGAAATTGTTAATTAACCTGATGTAGGTCAACTGTTCGCATTTGCGACCGGTCCTATATTCCTTGGTCATTACATGAGCAAGAACATAAGATGAGACCAAAGAGAAAAATGTAACATTTAGAAAGCTTCACAGTAGCTATTCAAATTGTATTCTCAGTTAATCAAGAAAAAGATCACAATCAAAGATACGAACCCTTCCTTTTTTTTTCTGTTTTGTGTAGTTTTACGAGGAGGAAACCGTTCCCGGAAAATGATCGGTGTTGTCACAACTAAACTCAGTAAATAGAGATTTAGAGGAGGCAAAAAATAACAACATTAAGATAATACTGCAAACTATTCCATTGTTTTAACAAGAATAATTCATAATATCTTTGTTTTATCATGTTGAACAAAAACTCGACAAGAAACTAAACCCGAATCATCTTAAACTGAATTCAATTATAATATGAACTATATATATAAGTGTCTGTTAATTAAAGAATAAATTAGTACATACTGCAACTGTATGAAAATCTAAAAAGTTGAATCATATAGAAGGTAAACTAACCTTCCTTTCAAAGAACTCTTCCATCCATTCCATCGAGAAGACCTGACCATAGTCCCTTCACCGGTGGCAACTGAGCAACAAAAGCATTCCAAGGAGGGTAACCAATGCCACTTCCTCGCACCCGACCATCCAAGCGCAGAGATAAATAGCTGTATAATGAACACCACACAAGTAAATTTGACTAGCACGGGTATTTCTATCGATGATTTTCTAAGCCTTTGTTCGAAAGGTCATAGAAGGCATGTCGTTTTATGTTCCGGTATCATCGAATGACAAGAATATAGTAAGGTGGAGGAACTCTTACACAGGAGATTCAGGGGAAACACCAGCCAACTTCTTTTGTTCATTCAACCACCTGTATTTGAAGTTCAAACAAATGTATATCAGATAAGGCAGAGAGAACATGAGAGCTACAAACATAAATCGATCATTGCATCGTTCAAAACATAATCTTACTCGTTCCACTCAGACACAAAAACCGGGTTCAACTGCCAAAGCTTCTTTCTTTTTGCAGTGATATCCTTCATGTCTTCACTCTCATCGAATTCGAAACTAGGCGAATTCCCATCAGTAACGAAAGGAACCACCAGGACCCCTCTTTCAAGAAGCCTCTCAGTGAATGGCTCACTAAGTTTAAATGACTCTAGGACGAACGATCCAGGGCCGGAACATATCACGAGACGAGCAATTCCTCTCAAACTGCTGACCGGAAGGATCTTATTTTCATTCACCCGGAGCTTAAGATTGGAAAGGCTTTCTTCTCTCGATAGCCTGGCTAGTTGCTGGTTCTTGGCAGTGTTCTCCCTGAAATACAAAAACGCAAAGACAGACACCGCTCCGACGTCGATGCCGAGACTCGTTAAATTATCGGAGACTTCGGATGATCTCGCCGGATTGGTGAGGGAAGCAATTAACTGTGTGGTTGCAATTAATCCTCCCAACGCACCGCTTGCGATGAACGCCAGGTAAAAGAACATCCGCAGAGACCGAAAGGGAGATAGAACTTCACTCCTTATCCTGGCATCAGAACTAAGAACAGCAAGCAAATAAATTCATTTCAAGCCTCAATTTCAAAGCAAAACCTAATAACCAAAAGCATTCAATAACAAAAAAAACCAAGTAAAAAATCAAAAGCATACAATTAAGAACACAATTAATGAGAGAGAACCGGGAAGAGAACCTGATTTCTGAGGAGGAAGAGGGCTTATTAGTAGCTGAACAAACGATGGAAGAAGACAGCAATGGTGGCTTTGCATGAAAACTTGTACTGATTGAAGAGAGTGCATTCTTTCTATAAACGGGACTTTGGAAACAAAATCTGAAACTACTTTGCTTTACTCTAGGGTTTGAGGGACCAAAAATGTAACAAAATTGTGCCATGGAAGCCATGGCCGGACAGCTACCTGGAGCTTTGTTGGTTTGGTTCGTTACATTCTTTTGTCACCCACAGTTAACATGGGTGTTCCCTGGAGAGATGTGATCAATAAACTGCCACGCCTGCTTGTTGCTGTCATTGTGAGTTACCCATGATATTTTTTGGACCAGAACCAGAATGGATCCATCTTTATGGGTTCAAGCCCGTTTTTATGGAAGCTTGAACGTAGTTGATAAAGATGGTAACGTGTCCGATTAAGTTGGATTTTTGATAAATTCGACCAAAAAAATATATTCTCCACTCAAACCATTCTGAAAGACATATGCCCTCAACCTGAACCGACACGAAGAGTATATTTTGTCTATGTAAACCTAATTTAACTTGAACTTTTAGAGTATGTACTTGATTCAACCCAACGTAAAATAAAGATCTGATTAAAAAAGTATAAAGAGTGAGTATTATAGTAATTATCCATAAATTTATATGAAAAATATACTATTATCCTGAAGTCCGAAGGTTTTTCACCCTTCATTGAACCCAACACAACCTCACACTATATAAAACCTGACTCAAACCCAATCTGGCTCTGTTTTTTTATTAAAAAAAGATGACTTTATCAAAGTCAGATCAAATCAAAATTCATCATTTTCGAGTTAAATTTTTATCATCCGCCTGAACCCAACACGATCTCATATTATATAAAATCTGACTCAAACCCAATTTGACTCTGATTTTTTTTTTGAAAAAAAAAAGAAAACTATCAAATCAGATCGAATCAAAATTCATCAATTTCGAGTTAAATTGTAATCCACTTAAAGTTGGGTTGTAGTTTGACAAGTCTTCGTTTCATAAGATATTTGACAAATTGCAGCAGGGAAATATAATGGGAACATGCATATTCGCTATTTGTCAAAAAAAACTGCGATCTAAGAAATTTCAAAGCCAAAACATGGACCGCCAATGAGAAGAGAAAGTCTATAAATACGTGAGCTTTGACATGGCAGGGAAGCAAAAGCATATAAAGATTTCAACTGGAAATGGAAGAAGTGAAGGTTTTAGGGTCTTGGCCTAGTCCATACGGTTTCCGGGTTCAATGGGCGCTGGAACTCAAGGGTGTGGGGTAAGACTACATAGGTGAAGATTTATTTAACAAGAGTGATATGCTGTTGAAGTATAATCATAAGAAGATCCCAGTTCTTGTTCACAATGGGAGACCGATCGCGGAATCGGCTGTTATTCTCGAATGCATTGGGGAGACATGGCCTCAGCATCCTTTGTTTCCCAAGGATCCTTATGAAAGGGCCATGGCACGGTTCTGGATCGACTTCCTCGATGACAAGGATAAGGTAATTCATCCTGAACTCGTCTTGGCTACATAAATTGACCCAAAAAAATTCGGGTTTCGATTATTATTCATTGTTTATTCTGAAATTTGCAGGCAGCTCCGTTCGTGACATTCTTCGTTGGGGTTGGGGAGGAACACAGGGCAGCCGAGGAAGTGCCGGAGCTGCTAAAGATTTATGAAGAACAAGTGCTTGGCGAGAAGAGATATTTTGGTGATGAAGAGATTGGGATGTTGGATTTGGCCATGGGGTGGATGGCAGCCTCTTTTGGTGTCATCGAAGAAATAGTTGACGTCAAAATACTCGAAGCCGAGACGTTCCCCCGACTACATGCATGGATTCAGCGTTTCGGGCCTCATCCTGTGATAAAAAAATAACCTTCCTGAACATGATCAATTGCTGCAAAATTACACAGAGAAATGAAAGATGTTTCTTGGACATCCACGAGACACATGAACAGTAATTTAATCCACGAAATCGAACCGAATTATATTATTTTATTGTTTTATAATGTGAAATTTTCATTTGATATTACTTTGCAATTTGTAACAATGATGCATTTGATGCCAATAATGCAAAAGACAACACAAATGACAAAAAAGACAACACAAATGACAAAACATGCCCACTTGCACCAAGCTTTGCATGGTGACCATCTTAAAGGCATATAAAATCACACCATCCTCAAACCTTAAAACATTTCCCGGTTTCAATCCTACGAGGCAATGATAATGCATTATTATCATACGTTCGAGACATCCTAACCTCAATATCCGTCATCGGAAGAGAAGTCCTCGTCAATTCTTTTCTTATTACCTGTTTATGCGGAACGAGGAACGAAAAAAAGTAATCTTTAAACACGATAAATTCTAAAAAGTCTCCATTTACAACTAAACATAGTAATGCTACCAAGTACTTAACATTATTTTTTATTCATTTCTTCTTTTCTAGAAATTCATGAATCGCTAAATCCAACTGGTCACATTATCAAACATGGTTTCACATGAGATAACATGAGAGTTTCATAATTTTAATATGTATGGTTTGAATGGAGAGATTTTTAAACAATAACTTAGGCGGTTCCGAAGTTAATAAATGTAATAGAATGAAAATTTTCCCTTATAGAGACGGGAAATAGCATGCCTTTGAAATAGGATCCAAAGTTGGTCACAGAATCATATCAAGTGAACTAGTTTTCCTTACTTTTAGCAATAGCTTCTGACAGCAAAGATTGCAGTTCTCCTTTACGATGAAGTTTGACAGTATCTGCAATAGAACACGAAGTGACGATTACTGAAGATATATTTAATCAAATTAAACAACAATAAGTGTCTCTATGTCCAAGGAAACCCAAGTTACTCAGACGGAAAAAGAACAAAAATAACTGTACAGCCACCAATGTCTTAACCGATGTATCATTCATGACAAGAAAATGCACTTATACCTGTACAGCCACCAATGTGTTTACCCCCTGTGTGAAACAGATAAAGGTTAGGGCATTAGTCATAACAGGTCACTTTAAACAAAGTTCCCAAGGTTGTAGTTCAAAAGTATAACATGCCAGGCACCAAAAGCAATAAAATTTTCCGGTATATGCAACTTCTTTTAGAATCATAACCAAATAAAGGGTCGTTTTCATAAGTGATTCTTTTAGCCAGAACTCCAACAAACTTACTTTCTACTGTGTTTCATTATTCCATGTTCAAAATTTCCAAAAATAAATAAATAAAACAGAAAAGCCAAGTGCCAAGTCATGATGCTCATATTGATTTTCTTATTAGACTATGATAAACTTCCATTCTGTTTGTAACAACGAACCTGAAAAGACAGCCTTATACTTCATCCTTTCATAGAATGGTAAACATTAAAGATAATAAATGGACTGGTAGGGATTTTATACGTATAAAACCAATAAGCCATGCATACCATTTTACAAACAGAGTTCTATATTGGTTAGGTATATATTAATTCAATAAACTTACCAATAAAAACATTTGGAACAGTGTGTTGCCCAGTAAGCCGCTCCAGCAACTTCTGCACTTGGGGACCTTGGGGGCCTGAAAAAGATAGAACTCTTTATTACAAGCAACATCAATATTAAGAAGAAAAGTAACTGACTGCACAGTCCAGTTTGAGATATTTGGAGAAAGGAAACATAAATTACAACCCAGAAATCCTGTTCCTTTGAATAGGATGGATATATGTTATATGAACTCAGTTTCCAGCTTCCCAATCATTTTTTCAAAGAGAAAGTATCACATGGTGATGCGTGATCAACGGTGACTTATTGTTACGATTTCAAACTAGGACTTGAAAATTATTGAACTGATTAGTTATCTTACTGGTTAAAATTTTCAAGGTTACAACAAAAAGCCAAAAGAGATTATGAATCCAAGTCTTTCATTATTTCAATGGGTTGTAGAAGCGTACTGAAGAACAAAACACACTCAAATTTCATTAACTTCATCTATACGGTGAACTTAGTTTCCCTCAAATCTCCATTCTTCATTGTTTGTTTCTATTATTAAGCAGAAAATATAACAATTCAAAGTTGATATTTTCAAAATTTGCATGACTTGTACTCATTGCATCCAACATCTCACTCTCAGTTTTATCAATCAACTTGACAAAGCCAAGAAGCAAAGATGGAGTTTCTGCTAAGAATAATAGTTCATCCGTCAGAAACTCACGAGGTTCCCCACAATTCAAACGTTCAGCCATCTTCAATGAATCACATTTATTAAGAAAAATGCATTTCTAAACTATATGGCAAACTCAAATTCAGCAAAATATAAAATAGAACTCATTTTTCATCAATTAATCCAATAAAGTTGCAAAAAAAATGGTCAAAGCAAACCAAAATAGCAAGAAAGGAAAATAGAATCTTTAGTGGCCGGGATCCAGACGTCTCCCAACATCAAATAAACTGTCTTTTGGATACTCACATACCTCGAAGCTTTCTCAACGGGGATCACCTCCCTCAATTTGAACCAAAGGAGGTACACATTTGGGTGAAAAAGGTGGGACTCTAGGTACCAATAAGGAAATACCTTTCCTTTTACTTAATTGATGTAAGGGTAGGCATGATGATAATCAAATATCGGTGTATGTAATTTAGGAATTTTCTTTATATTTTCTATTGATAATCCATTTTCTATTCCGTAAATTTTATAAAATTTGCCTCTACCATAAAATCATGCTTACGACCCTATAGTATCTGTAAAACATTTTACAATATGAAGTAGCCTAAGGAAAGTAAATAAAATTCATATCACATAACAATAGAAAATTTTTGAAACGAAGACTAACCCAAATCATCCAGTTCAATGACCAAAGGCTCCACACCAAGTTTCTTGAACAATGATTTCACCTCCGAAGAATACCTGCAAACAAGGAAAACAAAAAGAAAACCCATCGCAAATCTCCCTATAAAAAGTACGACTCACACAAAAAAATACCAAAATTATTCAAATTTTCCAACAACAAAAAGAACGTGAACAAATCAGGAGAATTAGATTTGAACCCACGAGCACCAAGTCTTGGAGTAAACAACAACTGGGTTACTAATCACGGTCTTCTTAACTCTCTCCTCGAGCCTGGAACCAAATGAGGAAGCCATGCTCCGGACAACCATGGGTTTGCATTGCTTCGTCCAGCCATAGATTCCCAAGCTCAAGCTGGTTGATGTCGAAGCTCTGCTGCTTTGAATATGAAGAAATTCTATGCATGGAGGGTGTGAGAAGGACCCAGGACGGTCTACATGAACATAGCGCAGCTTTGCTAGATGATATGTGATTGCCATGGTTATTGATTTCTGGTTAATTTGTTTGTTTGTTGAGATTTTGATCGTTGATCTCTAGTTTTTAAGCAGCTATTTTTGGAATTTTACTCATTTTGTTTCGCTCTTATTGTTCCGGGGGTGTGGGCTGGGTTTTGGTTGTTTGCTTGCAAATGAAAAAGTTGAGCCTAAAATGGGCTCTTGTACGTTTCATCCTACAATATAAAGCTTAAGATAAACTATGCATTTAGTATTTATTTAAAATATCAATTTTAATCTATTTTAGTATATAAATTTTTATTTTTTTCCCTTCCTGTACATCATTCAACTATTTGTCAAATATATACAAAATTTAAGAACAAAATTCCCTTCTTCTGACATTTTTTCCGACATTTTCTCACCTGAAGCCATGAAGGAACATTGCTGCGGTATCCGGTTGCCAAAACAACCGGGTCGAAGTCGAGTTTTTCGTCAAGCTTAAGCTTCGTCTTTCGAAGCAGTTCTATCAACTCTATAACAAACCACCTTTCCCTGATGACTTCCCTGAATAGCCGACAAAGAAACAGTTCATTTAATACCTTGAATCAATTCCTAAGCATTTCGAAACCAACCCAAAATTCAATGAGTGTCTGCAGTCGGCTAGGTATGCTGAGACCAATGGTCAAGACCGTCGTCACGAGCACCTTGTTCGAGCCGCTCGGGACGGCTGTCTTAACCCTTCAGAACAGAAACCACTGGTTTCATCATATCTGATTGACTGCACTCACTGATCGAGCTTTGGGTTGATATCGAAATGCCTAGCAAATGATTCAAGGCATTCAATGAACTGTTCTTTGTTGAGTACTCAGGGAAGTCATAGGGGAAAAGGAAGTTTAGGGAGTTGACAGAGTTGCTTTGGAAGATGAAGCTTAAACCTGTCCTAGGAGCGCTTTTGCCACAAAGAAAGACATGAGGAAAGATGTTTGTTGAGAAGAGAAGTGGATGATGTTGATTTGGGGAGGGGAGGGCATGTGAAAGGTGCATGTGATTACATTCTTAAAAGAATATGCAAATCAGGAGGAGTCAATTCTTTTGTTGACAGGCCTTGGGATTTTGTTGGGATTGTAGTGTAATACTACACAACCAAAATGGTCTAGAAGAAAGCCGAAAGGGGCCAATTCTATATCATAAGCCAAATGCCAACTTTTGGGGTTAATTCTATATCATAAGCCAATTGCCTTTTGTTATTTTATCAAGGATAAATTATACAAAGGGTTATTAAATAAGGGGTGTTGTTTTGTTAAGTCTTTTAATTTAAAAGTTCTAAAACAATATTTTGATTGTAAGATGTCACTCGATTATTCATACGTTTCAAACTTGTCCGTTTTTGTTAAAAAAATGACGGTCGTTTGAGTTGGACGTTAACCTTTTGTCTAGAATATGATAAAAATATGATCTTATAATTGTTTGAGTTGTATTTTGTGGATCGAGTCTCTATTTACATTATTGTGTGGAGTCAGTGCTTAAATCATTATATCTTAGAGTCAGTGCTTGAAAGCAACAGTTGGTGCTTGTATACATCATTAAAATATAATTTTATCATATCACAATCAGCACATCCAGATCAGATGGCCGTTAATCTTTTAACAAAAAATGAGGAGTTTGGAATATATGAATAGTTAGATCATTATTTTGTAATTTTTAATAGTCGATGAACTCAACAAAACGATATCTCATAGTCGATAGACTATTTTGTAATTTTTAATTGTCAAATAACTTAATAAAATTACATCCTATTATCAAGTATGAAGAAACCATGTGTATTTTACCTTTTTTTGAAATATTTAGTAGTATCTCTATATTAAGCAAAGATGGGGTTTCTTAGTTCATTACGCTGAAGCAAAATCATTTGGACCCACAAGCACATCAAGTCTGGTAATTTTGGCCCAAAATCATAGGTGGGCTAATTTTGTCTGCTAATCATTTGGATTATGGTTATACAATAAAAGTTGTAGAACAGCACCATGGCTCATTGCATATCTAACAGGTTTATGATTCGAATCGGTCAGAGACTCTGTGAAATATATCGGAATTGTTCTCAGTTCTCTGTTGTGGGATATGCTTTACAGTCTACAGAAAACATCTAAGTGTAAATTTGGCAAAATAAGAGAAGAAGGTGGTGGTGGGATCTGAGTTGAGTTCCATCGTTCCTCATGATCATGTGAGTATGTGACCTACAACCCCTCATGGGCAGCTTTCATAATCTGTAAAATCATTGAATCAATTGTGCCCTTTCCTTGATTTTAGAGCTTGTTTGATGCCTATTTGTAAGCATATATGTCATGTAACTCACAAATAGGGCTATAAACGAGTCGAGTCGAGTTGAGTTTGAGTATTGCTAAGCTGGACTCGATTTGAAAACTCTAAAATAGAGTTCGACTTGACTCGAAAACTCACGAGCCTAAAATTTTCAAGCTCGACTCGAACTCAAAATCATAAATTGAAGCTCGTAAAAACTCAAAATGAAAAAATATTAAACTTAACTCGATTGAAACCTCAAACTCGAACCTGAACCTTAAATAAATGAAACCTTATATTGCATTTAAAAAATCAACACATAAATGTTAATATTATTAATAATTTATCTTTTAAAAGGTAAAATCTTAATATATTATATTTTCGAGTAGAGTATAAAGTAACTCGTTTCGGCTCGTTAAGAATTCGAGTCGAGCTCAAGCTCGAATCGAGTCCATTCGAGTAAAATATTTATCGAGCTTTGACTGAATTGATCTAAGGTAATTCACGATTTGTCTCATCTCATTTACCGTCCTACTGACAAGAGAGTCGGTTGATAAAGTATGGTGAAAATAATTCAAGTAAAAAGGCTCCAACAATCTTAAACTTAATTCACTTGCTACATGCAAAAGTTTTATTAAGTTTGGGGTTTGAACATTGAGTATTTCTAATGTATTTAAGGTCGAGTCTTAGAATACCGGGGCAAGATCCAATTATAATGTATAAAACTCTTTTAGTTTTACATCTTTTTAGGATCATTCGATGGGAGAAATTAAAAACTGAGATTAACAGTAGAAAATGAGAAGATATTCACTGAAAAAAACAATGAGTTAATCTCAGTTTTTGATTTCCATCAATCCAATAATCTTAAAAATGTGTAAAACTAAAATAATTTTACACAACGTAAGTGGATTCTGACTCGTTCGACTTAAAATTTTGATTTTTTTAATATTAAGTTATTCAAATTAAATATTTAGATTTCGAGTTTGAATTTTCGAGTTTGATTATTTTGTGATTATGTCTCTCGTTCTCTTGTTCCTTCAATCATTCTTTTATTTTAAGTTTATTTCTTTATTAAATTTAAACCAAATATTCGCCAAACACCTTAGATTACATGTGAAATTTCAATTCTTCTTTATGATAATATTTTTTTCTTAATTTAATCTTGTAATTTTTTTATTTTATTCAATTTAGTCATCTAACTGTAATTCTTTACATTTTTTTTGTTCACGTCAATTTCTTGATTATTTTATATTTATATCAATATTTTCTTAAAAGTCACTTCTTTAAAAATTAAATCATAAATATATTATGTATTTTTTATAATATTTGATTTACAAAATAACATTATCAATCTAATCACACATATAAAGAATAATATAAATAAATATGTGTATTTTGTATATGAATAGGGAAAACCATTTAAACTGAAACCAATCAATACCATGACGTTGTATATAATTATGATTAAATTTAAATAAAAATTCAAACTGATATATGCTATTCAAATTTTATAAATCGATTATACTCGAAAAACTTCAAACGAAGTTTAAAAAAAATAATAGTACTCTCCGACTTAACTCGACTCAATCAATTATGAAAGAAACTATATCATTTAACTTTGTTAATAAACTATAATTTTACAAAAAGAAAAAAGAAAATCGAAAGCCTCATCATCCTCAGTGTACAAAATGCCCAAAGGGATCAAACTTGTGCCTTTGGAGAGGGCTCTGTCAGCCTGTGCTACCTGTTTTGTTTAGGGTTTTTTAGATTTTTTTATTTTTATTTTTATTCTTTTTGCACTGAGGATTGGGAGTTTAGAACTGTGACATGAATCTTCTTTGGCAAGCAATGGAAATCTTTTTGTGTTGCTTAGTTTCATCTTTCCATAGCTTCCCAATATCTTGTGCAATCCTAACGGCATCCGAGGCAGCACCAGAGAGCCCTCTCCTTGTGAACCCAACTGCATATAATCCACCATTCCCTTTCCACCCATGTGGGAATGGTGCCTTTGGGAACCCTTTCTTGCAAAAGAAGTCACCTTCCTGCAGCCATGAAGGAACATTGCTTTGGTATCCGGTCGCCAATACGACCGAGTCGATGTCGAGCCTCTCGCCGTTAACGAGCTCGACTTGTTTATACGTGAACCGCTTTATTCCGGGAACAACTTTGATGTCAGCTGATTTGATTTTCTCCAATGCACCAATGTCCAATACAGGGGTCTTCCCTTTTATGTTCTTGAGCTCTAGTGGTCCCATTGATGGGCGTTTAAGCCCGTATCTCTCAACGTTTCCAAGCACCAACCAAGACAAAATCAACATCAGTTTGTCAACGAGCCAAAGGGGCAGCCATTTCATCATCGGAACAGTGATTTCGAATGTCGATTTCCCGAATACTTCTCTTGGCAATACATGAACCTGTTAAAAGAAAAAAAAAACAGAACATTAGAATTTGATCTCCATTGTCATGTTCATGTACTGCATGCTTTGAAATTTTAATGACTTACCGAGCTGCGAACCACCATTGATGGTGAAGCATCCTGGGTACAAAGATCAAGAGAAAGTTCCATGCCGGAGTTACCGCAGCCGACGACAAGTACTTTTTTGTCCCTCGAATTTTTCCCCGGACTTGTATTCACAAGCATGGATGACTTCACCACCGAAATTCTCCAATCCCTCGATATCCGGCACAACACACTCGGCATTCTCGCCGGTGGCCACCACGAGCCAGCGGCAAATGTACTCGGCCTTGTTCGACACGGTCTTGACAAAACCTTAATATTCCAATCACGGTTTTGAAACTCAAGAATAGCCTCAATCAGTGCGTTTCCGTTTAACGCTTCTAAGCAACAATTTCATAGCTTTGTGATCTCAAAATTATCCATTTTCAGTTCAATGTGACCCTTTGACCAATGTTTTTTTGTCGTTGACCGTTACAGTGTTGACTTTACAGTTCATGATGCTAAAATGACAGTCCACAGTGGTTGATAACATGACAAATAACATGGTAAATGAGTTAAATTAGTACTCAAACATGACAGATGGATTGTTACGGCAGTATCGTGGATCGCCAAGTCAACATCGTGAACTATCACGCCAACATTGTAACGGTCAAACGACGATAAACATTGGTCAAATGACCCATTAGATTTATGTTCTAAGGGACACATTAAGAAAAAAAAATACGAGGATCACATTGATTTTTTTAAAAATACAGAAATCTCTAATACTTTTCTATCATTATTTTTCTGAGTCGGATATAGGACAATACAAATAATAATAAGGGAAATTGTAAGAAAATATAACAATAGTCACATCTAAACAACAACAAAACAAATCTTATAAAAAAATCTATATGAGCACATTAAAAATGTTTTTTTTTTCAACTTTAAAGTTATATAATTATTAAAAGGGGTAATAAGAAGCTTAGACAGATTTAGAGGATCACATATAAATAGGAAAACTTTGTATATGTTTTATGCCATATGACTCGCTGAATCTCTCACACCTAAACTACAAACAATACTATAGAATTCCAGCACTAATTTAATTATTTTTTGGAATATATTTTCCAACAAAATCTTTTAGGAAAATGGGGTTTGTGAAAGATGCTCGAAAATGTATGTTCATTTGTAGTTGTGACATCATAGGTTTTGTCAAATACTGTTCTTTTTTAATGGTTAGAACAAGGAACGGTGTAATATACAGAGAGAGAGAGATATCTCTGTGTTTTCAGACATCTTTAATTTTACATGATTTTCGTTGTCTCATATTGCAGCAAAGAATATAGCATGAATGCAACCTATATATATATATAGCATGAAAGACACCACTTCCTTTGGTCTTAGACTTAATTGTTTAAATCATTTAAAGTTAGGGAAAAGTACTCAAATGGTTCCGATTATATGACGTTATTTTATTAAGTCTCATGATTATTAAAAGTGGTAAAATAGTCTCCCGATTATAGAGTGGTCACATGTATATTTATATATTCCAAACTCATATTTTCCATTAAAAAATGATGGTCGTATGAGTTGGACGTTAAATTGCTAATTGAGATATGATAAAATCATATTTTAATGATGGCTACTGGCACCACTGTTGCTTTCAAGCATTGGCTCGATGACATGATATTTCAAGCATTAACTCGACGACTACAACTCAAACAATTTTGGTATTAGATTTATCATATCTCAATCAATAGATTAACGTTTAACTAAGACGACTACAATTTATTAACGAAAAAATACGAGTTTGAAACATATGGATAGTTGGGTGATCATTTTATAACTTTTAATAGTCAGGGGACTCAACAAAACAACACCCCGCGATCGGGAGACTATTTTATAAATTTTAATAATCGGAGAACTTAACAAAACAATCCTTATAATCGAGACCATTTATATACTTTATCCTTAGATATATTATTTGGATTAAGACCGAGATATATGAATGACTTTTTTAATTAGAAAAATCCTTTTTTTTTATCAATTTATTATAAAAATAAATCCATCATAATTATTTAGAAAATGACCCTAAAATGACTCAAGAAGGAATACTTAGCGTTCTTCAAAACGTGAGGCATGATCTCACTTTTTATAGAGCACGAGATTCATCGACATGAAAAAATTTAGACACGAGAAATACATGAAATTCGCTTTCTGCAAAATGCAAGATATGGCCTCGTTTTTTGCGAAACACGAAGTATTCTTACATGGTTATTTGGGGTTTAATTTTTTTAATAAAAAGTTAATTTGATTTTAAAAACCCTACATGAATTGACATGAAAACTCTAACTAACTAATCATATAGCTGATAAGATGGGACGATCTGAAAAAGGAAATCATGGTGAGCGCCATGTGACAACCTAGATGGACTCGCTCTTAATTTGGCTCCATCTCCTTTTTATTTATTTATTTTATAAAATTTAAAATATTTCTCAAAGTTTTGGAATAATTTAGACGGTGACTCCATCTCTGTTGTGTTGATAATATGTTTGAAATTTGAGCTCTGCTTTTTTTTAATTAATAATAATGCAAACTCTAATGATCTTTTTCCAAAAGGAAATGCAAACGCTAATGATGATTAAGTTAACTGAATCGGCAGAAATAAGCTATTATCGAACCCTAATGATGATGATGCTCTCGCATGCAGCCGCCCAACTTTGACAATATTTTATATACCCAACTCTCTTGTGGAATTTCTTTTATAAAATAAATGCATTATATATTTATATATCCGATCTAAATGCACTTAACCATTTGACAATGAACGCTCAATCACTCTGCTACAATCATTGATGTTCAAATCCGTAACTTCTAAGAACAATAACAATTCTTTTAACCATTATAGTAAGTTGATTCGTGCATCTTGAAAATAAACATATATATATTATAGAGGTATTAAAGGTATGAAAAAGGTTCATGTATATAATTTTTTATCAAATGACAATTTTAACCTATGCTTTATTCCTTTAAATATTTATTAAATAATTTTTTATTGTTTTAATTTTGAATTAGATATTTTTTAAAAGTAAAACAACTTTAACATTAAATAATTTATATATATATATATATATTGTTGAATGGCATGTTGGCATGGATTTAATCAATACTCGCCAACTGCAGTAGATAGAGTTGGACTGCGAGAGTATGATTATAAAAGCCTTGGACCAACCTACAACGAGGGATGGGCTCGAAGTATGAGTTATCTCTTAACGGATAAAATTAAACTCCGGCATAGTTTATCGAACGATTTCAGTAATAAAAAAATATTATTTTTTTAAATTAAATTTTAAGTAATTATATTTACGGGATACATATATACATATGTGTACGTACGCTGTCAATTGAGTAATTTTCTTTTATAAATACTATTTTAAAACATAGAACCGATATAGGGTCCACTTAATCCGGACCGTGCCGCAACTACCATTGGCAACTGTACAAGCGGGCTGGTGTGGTGGGGCTGGTGGAAATTTCGATTGGACCATGAAAATCATGGTGGGGGATTCAATGGATAGCAAAGGGTGGTCCAGCGCTGAGCCTACAACTTCAAAACCATGTAAGCCAAACCGAGCCGTGGTCCAAGTTATGGTGATGTGAAACTGTCATGATGGCTCGAGCCATTCTCATCTATATGGACCAACTGAAACGCTGGACGCCCCCAAAGCTGTGAGACTATTACGCATATTCCATGAGCATGTCACATGGACTGCCAAACCCATATGGCTTTCCCCCATTTTCAAACAATACTTATTACTTCTTTTATTCATCTTTCATTCTTCCTTCTCTTCAATAATGATAGTTTGAGATGAAATTAAAACGTTTAAAAATATGAATATCAATTTAAAAAGGGTCATAATTTAAGGATAAATTTGAAACATTCAAAAGTTCAAGAATTAATTTAAAATGAAACTCATTCTTTAAGAATGTAATTGAGAAAATTCAAAAATTGAGGACCAACTTAAAATAAAATCATAGTACAATTAACTCAATCAACTCAAAAATGAAAGTCATTATTTGATGATAATAATGATAGTTTGTGAAATGAAATTAAGAAACATCCCGGGGGGGGGGGGAAAGCTATAAAAATCCGGCAAGGCAAGGATCCGTACGGAGCGGAAAAGCTCTACAGCCAATTGCAGCCTGCAACGAGCATCACATTAGCTTAGGAAAACCTCTCACAGCAATCAAATGGCAACCCTCTTACAATGCTAAAATCGGATCATTACCACTTTACCCGCAAATGGCAACATCTTCTCCGGTGGGATGCCTGCACAGAGAGCTAAAAACAAGAAAATCGAATGGTCAACATCGACTTCGTAATGGCCGGATCAAAATCGTAAGGTAGAAAACTAAAGCATACAATGCCATTGTATACGCCAGTCACGATCATATGACATTAAACGAGTGCATACGGAAAATGCACTCGGTGATTTTGGTGCCCATCACACTTCAGTGTTGTTTCCTGAACTTGTAAGAAAATGGTGCTAGCTATACTCCTTCGGAACAAGGGATCATTGATTTCAAGTAAAATATGAGAACCTAGAGAATAATGCACAAGTCTTTCATACCTATTTGTAGCAACCTTCAAGAATATTAAGCATCTTTTCCAATTAATGACAATCTTTAGAAGACATGCATACATTAAGTTGAAACTTGAAATAGTTAAATGTATCATATAGTACTGCTGCGATAAATGCATCTCCAGCGCCGGTTGTGTCGACAAGTTCCAATGGTGGTATCTTCTCAGCTGTTCCCACAAATAACCGACCAGTCAGAGTCCCTATCCCACTTGAAGTCAATTTGGTTACCACCTAAAAGACCCGGAAAGAAAAGTTTTAATGCTCACAACATCCTTTAAAATCTTTCCTTTAGGAATTTAGTAACCTCGGTGAGAACCATCCACAGATTAACGTAAGTCCTAAGGTCAACGCATAAGTCGTAAAGTCCTCTGCTTTTTATGTTATTACCGATGAAATGCATGTTGGGGTGGTCTTGTTATCATCTTTCCTCTGCTTTAACGATTCCAATAAACCGTGAACATCCATTTCTTCAGCATCAGAACCACCTGCAACATAATAGGGAAACTAAAACCTATATAAAATTGTCTTTTTTCCGTTCCAACCGTGTTTTGTAGTTCTGGTTTAAGAGACATTCTGCGACAACACAACTGCACCCACCATTTACACTTTTTTCTAGCA